TGAACACAAAACTGCCAATTGGCCCAGAGCTGTTTAAGTTCAAGCAAAGAGGTATAGCTGGCAGAGGCAAACTGAGTCTGAAGCTAATAGAAACTATTCCTGATGACAAAATCAACATACTTATCTTCATACTTCCATTGTCCATCTCTTAAATCAACTCAATTGAATAAAGCTGAAAGGCCAAACTACTGTTATCATAGAGCCAAAATCAACTCTTACCTAATGAGCTGCTCTCAATCAAGGTAGTTCTCTATATTCAGAGTAAAAAAACGGACCGTGCCTCAATTCAGCAAGAACTTAGAAAGTAATGAGCCATGTTTGCTTTTTTCTTACAAAAATACAGCAAGAAGACATACTCAACCAGATGTTAAGCACTCTAAATCTGAAAAAGCAGTTCAACACTTAAATTAAAAGATTTGTTTAGGGAAGATCACTGGCACTTTGTTCATGCAGCATCAGCTAACTAGCAGAGCATAAACTTAGCTACTATCCCATTTTCACCACTTTTAAATTTGGCTCAGTAACCCTCAAAGGTTTCGCCCTGTAAATGAACTTAAAATCCATGTACTGTACATGGCTGTGCTTCCTCCAGCTGCTGATGCTGATGAAGTCTGAAGAATTCAAGAAACTTCATGAATCTCACTGTGCAAGCACTGACTGCAACCTAAAAAAAGGCTGGAAGTGAACCACAAAGTGCCTCTGCACTTAGTACTTTATAGCGTTTGAATCTTTCATGAACAGAATATGCTTGTATGTGAAACTGGCCAGAAACACACAAGACTGTAGTAAAATGTTACTGTTGTAAAGACAATGGCACCACAGAGGGATAAAATAAAGGTTTCCAATTAGGTTGGTATTCTGATTTATTCTAATAATGACAAACACAGTATAATTTTCCGTGTGGGGTACATCAGGCTGCACTAAAGGAAATCTTGTATAAAGGCACTCAAGTTAAGTAAAGTTCTCTCCTGGCTAAGTGCCAGTGCCGAGAGCAGGAACTGTGCCTCCGGTCTAAAAGTGTAAAGATATTCCGGGGAAGTGTCCAACAGTACCTCTTCACAGGGATTCATTCTGACAGTCTTTAACAATGCAGCTGAAACTGTTTGGTATCACCAGTGCGCCATGTTTTGTCTAATGGTTAACATCAGTTTCCTGTGATATAATCAAATACAGCATCCATCAATCACGCCTTCCACTGACAGTGACAGATTGTTAATATAAGGCTAAATGTGCCTCTCAGCTGGCCTCAGACCAGTCACTGAGTGTATTAAAGACTGAATGGATTTTGCCATAGCCAAATAAATATCCTCTGCAATTACATTAACTGATGGTTTCTGCAGTGAACACATACTGGACCATTGTCAGAGCAGAGAAGATCCCCAGAAATGAAATGGCATGCTGTCAGTACATGTATGATCCGTGCAGAAAACATCTGTCATCACGGCAGTCTGATCCAGTGTCCCACTGATCTGCCCGCAGAGAGCATTGGACCTTTAACCCCTGTCTAATGGCTGTGTTAACTGTGATGTATAAGGATTATTTTCAGTCCTTCAATTACCAGTTCGCCTGTCAAACCAATAATCCCAGATTCATTGAAAACCTGAAGTCTAACTTAAGTCTAAAATACTGTATTAGCAGCTAGTGTTTAATAGCACAGATTCTGAGATTTATAACATTTTATTTCGCCCTTGGTTTTAAATCAGTTAGTGTGCATATGCTTCTTCTTTTTTAGATTTCTCTTTTGCACAATACTTTAAATATCTTAGAGAACAGAAAAAGAAACCACGAGGAAGAAGAACTTAAGAGTGCTCACTTCTTGTTCAATCTAGTGTTCAATGCCGTGAAGCTGCAAATTGCAATGCAGCTTCACGGCATTTCATGCTTTTATAAAAGCATACAAGTCTCCTCTGATTTCACGCCCTCTTTCACCCATTATGTTATCACTATTTAGCTCATCATGTGATAATAATGCAGCCCAGTGAGGTCTCCTGATCACCGAATGACGGTGCCAGCCATTGATTTAAAAAAAATGTTTTAACCGATATGTTTTGCATTCCATGTGATTAAACGATGTGTAAACGTGTCTTTAATACCATATTTTGCAGTTGTAAATGACACATCTTTCCAAAAGAAGTTTAAGTAATACACAAGACAAACAGCTTTGATGGGAAAGCCCTGAAACTGGTAGAATGCAACAAGTTAAAACAGCAATTCAGGAATTACATAAATAATCGCGAGTAATTTGAGCAGCAACTACAGCAACAAGAGAATACATCTTCGTGAAAATAGTTGCAAAGCATTTCATGGAAACTAAAATTGACATAAAACCCAATGCTTTGTTTTATCGAAGTTTATCTGTGATTTTTCAGTACAGTGAAGATCAGAAATGACTATGAATCTTGTTTCACTTCTCTCTCTCTCTCGCTCAGTCTCTCAACAAAACTGATAGATTATGGGTCAGTTACCTGTTTATCATGACATGGAAAAGTAGAGTAAGACAATATTGGGAATGATATTAATCAACACTATATTGTGTAGCAGACCTTTGACAGTGAAACCAAGGCCAACTTTGATGCAATACAGAACAACAAGTGGACGTCAGCAACGTCAAAGAAATTTGTCACACTCCTCATCACAAACGTAACATAATAAGCGTATTAAATTCCACAAGACAGTGCTTGAAGAGCCAGTATTTAGTGTCAACATACTGTAAACAAAGGAAGGGAAAATGACCTACCTTATGGGTGTAAGGTGCGTCTCCAAGGTTGATCCCATCTTTAGCCAGTTTATCCCTTATCAGCACCTTAAGCTTCAGTTTGGGATAAGTCACAAAGTCATTACAATCGGTGAATCTCAGGTTATGGTTTCCAGGACAAGAAGCCTCATGTATTCTTGACGTGCGTGAGTGTGATCCCAAAGTCCTGAAGTCTTTTTCTCTGCTTGGGTCTGAAGAGTGGTTGCAAGTAGGAGTTCCAATTGGCTCCAAGGTGAAATAGTAGCTTGGTGCTTTCCTTTTGTCTTCATCCTTTAGTGTGTGCACTGCTGCAAGGAGCCTGTGTCTGTGGTACTCGATGTGGACACCTATGGCATCCAAGTCTGGTTCTCCAATCTGTTTGCACACTTCCAAATCATCATACCCATTGTCAATGAAAGACTCCAAATATTGGGCCAGATGGAGCTTAGAAAGCCACTCCAGGACAAGGTTTGGCCCTTGGCTCATTTTAGAAAAAAAAAAGGATATAAAGAAAGCCTACCTTATCTGTTCAACATCATATCCTTTTACACTTCTGCTGGGGTGTTTGCAGAGAAAATCCAGCAAACTGGTCCATGTATATCCCACCTCAAACACATTCACCTGTTCAAGTCTACGTTTCAGAGACATCTATTAGGTTCTTGCTGAAGCATTAGATATGATACAAAGTGGATACCAGGTTTCTGCATGCTAGAAACAAACTGAACAGTCAAAGTCCTTTAGATGAACCAAAAAGAAAACCCTCCTGAAGTTCTCTTGATCAACACAGACAGGGGCATGCTCTCCTTTTGCCGCCTTTCATATTTTTTAAAAGGCAGGATATTAAAGTAAAATGCAAACCCCCATTAGGAGAGAGTAGGTTGTTTTTCAGCCAAAATAGTCCAATGTTCAACTTCTTTAACGTCACTTTGTATAGTAACTAACGTTATGAAGCACATTTTTAGTAGTTGCCTGTCGTCGACGTAACGTTGAAGTTTAGTGAGAAGAGAGAACAGACCTTTACCGGGTAGACCACGTTTCCATAAAGTTATCTTCTGTCAAATGTGTTAAGAGTTGGCGTCTTCCGAGGCTGCCTCTGTCGTCTTTGTTTCACTCATCCCAACAGCTACAGAGCAAGACACGCAAGGTCCATCAAACATTCATCCGGAGCTTAAATGTTGCCGTTGAACGCGATGTATATAAAAGGCTTTTTTCCCCCTTTCGATAGAAACGCTCCTGAGCAGCAAGAACACATAATAAATCATCCACACGTGTTCAGAGCGCACATGTTGGGCATTACTTTGTGTTTGCCTTCCACCTTACTCAACTTTTGTCGACCCACCGCTCCATCCGCTGGTTCGATCCAAGTGAGGATGCTGCTGCCGCTCAGCCGCGGATTCACTTCTCTGCTGTGGTTTCGACCCCGATGGACGACGGGAGTTCAAGGAGCAGTGGCGCCACCTGCAGGGGCTTCTGGGAAACGTAGGACTCGTTAATAAAAATACAAATAAACCGATGATAAAGTATAAATTTAAATAACATTACAGACAAAAACATTTTTTAAATTTATTATACATTTAAAAAAATTTATTTTAAAAAAATGAAAATGAAAATTATTTTATTTTCATTTTCATTTTTATATTGCGGTCTCAACATGCCCAAACCTTGGATTTTTTTTTCCCGTTTATCTTTAAATGAAAATACTCAGTATTATTGTATGAAGCATATTCTAAAAAAAATGTTTACTGTTTTCTGTGGTTGCAAAAAAACTTAAACTTGTAAAAATGTGTACGATGAAAATATTGGCATACATATTTTCACTTTTTCCGCAGATGGTATTCCATAATTAAGGCAGTGCATATTTAATTTTAACATAAAAATGACATTGATGGAAATAAAAAACAATTAAAATAAAGAAAAATATGTTATTATACAGAATTGAGACAGAAACATATGCGATGAAGTCAACAATATATTTTTTTAAGGGGAATAAAACTTGTTTTCCACTGTAAAAATGTTGAGAAAAAAAAAGATGTGTAATGTCCTAACTCTATTCAAATTGCGCTTTAAATTAGGGTTGCACCAGGCTGTAACTCAGGATGCTCAAAGCAGTGCTTGATAAGACTATTAATCTATATCTGACCTCTGACCTGCAGTGGGATATGTTAAGAAAGAATGTCCGTACCAGTACTAATGAAACTTCATCTTTGAAATAAAATCAGTGAACAAACAGGAAACAATGAAACAGAAAACACAGGACAAAACATGGTATGATTGGTTTTACATTTATTTTCCATTGCACAATAATATATATATTTATATACTGTATCTACAGTCTAAATTGTTTGTGGCAGCAGATTAAGTCAGACATCCATGTGAAATTTATTTTAATAAAACTGTACAAAAATTGCCTACTATGAGAAAATACTGCAACTCCACAGATATTCATCCCAGAAGACAGAAAGACGGATGGATGGAAGTATGGCGACTGAGAAACCCTCGAGCTCTCCTGCACGCTGCTCTAAGCCAAACTTTGCTTTCTATGCATTTCTACAGCACAGGGAAAGCAAGACGTTTTCATGGAGCATACAGTAACATAAACAGATGTACCAGTAAATAAATAAATCCTCTCACACTTATACAATTGGCATGATCAAACAGCAGTGGGACAGCCTCCGGATGTGTGACGAGAACTTGAGTTTTTGTTCAACATGGTGGTAAATACAAACGCCAGAAGAGACAATCTCTAAGAGGGATAATACATGGTTGTTTCAAGTTTGTAAACACTTAATATCATGCATCCTTCAATGTGCAATAAGGGACCATTTAGGACATATATGTTGCAAACTGAAGCACTTCAAAGTTGAGGCCAAACTTTGTAGAAAGACTCAGCGGCCCACCAGGAGGATATGACCCTCCTGCAGTAGCAAAGCTAGATTCAGAGATGAGCATGTTCAATATAGAACCAGAAAATATTTGTCATGTCTGGATGATGGATCCTTATGCACAACCATTGTTTGGACAGTAAATCTACCCCCATAATAACATTAAAGGTGTCTTTAATAGATTATTGAAAATCAAAAGTATACATACATTTGTTTTCAAATATATAAATATATCATAGAATCATTAACCAGACATTGAAAACAAATCTGAAAGTGAAGCAATCAGCAAAATTGGCAAATGACACAGATAAGCATAGGTTTTAGTCATGTTTTGGTCCTTAAAAAAAAACAAGAAAATGGGACAAGAAAAAATAAAGACATTACAAATCATACTAACAAACTTCTTCTAAATACAAAAAATAGTGCAAAACCCACTCAGCTGCTTATTTCTGTGGGTTTATATCAGTAGTATACAGTAGAGAAGATTCAAATCAGTCAGCTAAAAGTGAAGGGTTTTATTCCAAAATGCTGTACACCCATCTTGGATAAAAGTATACAGCATCTAATACTCTCAAATCTAAGTGAATTGATCAAAAAAAGTCTCACATTTTTTCGTGCCTGCAACCATTTTCCATGAGTCCTTTGATATGATTTTCTTTGGTGGATCTCTCATTTTGGAATGAAACTCTTCAGATTCACCTTGCCTGTCCTCTGAACACAGCAGTTAGGGTAATGAGGTTGGCATGCCCACAAAAAAGAACCCAAATCCAAATCAATCTACTTTCTCCCCCTTTCCACACAGCAGACTTCTTGACAAAAGAAAATAAATCCAGACTGACTCTAAACTATGTTTTTTTTTTTTTTTGGGAGGGGGGGAACTCTAGACAACTGTGTGAAATCAAGCAACTCTTTGGTGTCGTGAAAGAACATGGCTGCAAGCATACAGGATCTCACGTTGCCCGAACCTGCACTGTCAGATTTGTGTCCAGCCGTCGTGTAATTGACAACATTTGGCAGCAATCTGGACCGACAAAGTCTTGTCTCTCTTTTTTTTCAAAACAAAAGCCCCAACAGATAATGCTCCTACGTTGACACAAATAGCAGCATATCCTTGCACCTCAATGAAAAAGAAATCTAATTACAATAGAACTCTAGTTAATCACATTGAAAAAACACTGTCAAGCAAAAACAAAAACCTAAAAAGGACCTATTGTAATACACTGCATCTATGTAGTATTATAAATATTGGCGCCCATACACATATTCCAGAATATATGTATGTTCACAAACACACAGACATACACATAGGTAGAGGTTAGCATATATGCATCATGAGGCAAAGGCAGAAGAGAGTTTTTTTTTTTTTTTTTTTTAAGTGAATGGTTCAGAGAGAGATGACCAATGGCACTGTGTGGAACACTCAAGGGTGCTTGGTCATTTCCACTGGCAGCTACGAATACAGACAGCATACCTTTACCATTGTGCTGAAAGAGACACATGCTTTTTTTTTTTCCCCTACACATTGAGAAACGAGACAAAAATCAACTCACGCTATGACAGGATAGCGAAAAAAGAAGAAAAGAAAATCGGAGTAATCATGTATAGATAAAATCTTTATCGCAAAAACTAAAAATTGTAACCAAAATATACATTTATGCTAATCACATGGAGGACAATCTTTGTCTTGCCCTTCAACACGTCACCTTTCTCTTACATGATTTAGCTACAGCCCTCCAGGAAAGCAATACGACCTTCACAGGATTTCCAGTGTCTCAACTCTAAATTTTTTATGATAGATCAATGTAAACTCTTCATCAGGGGTAAACATTTGCAGCACTTTATTTGTGCACTTAATCAACAGATAAATGTAATGCCCTTAATACAAACTTATTTTACTTGTTATATATTACACTGCTCCAATAAATAATCTAATTTCAAAATAAAGCTAAAAGGGACTCTCAGAAAACTCGCCGTTTGTTTCTTTCTCACCTAAAACAACTTGGTTGCTGTAAGAGAAATGGTCATGATGAACTAGTGTTCTACCAGCCCTTATTCGGTGAGAGGCGATAATTCCTCATCGCTCTGTCTACTTTCTACGATTTGAAGTGCTTGAAATGCCTCTTCTGGACAATAAAAAAAATAAATTAAGAAAGCACAGAGATCAAATTCTTGAAAAAATTCAGACTGGAAAAACAGACAAGTCCTTCATTGATTCAACCACTCCTATAGATATACACATCTATATTGACTTGATTACAGTCGATTTTTAAAGGACGACGGGTCATCAGACTTCTTTTCCTCGTGTAAGTCCACTGTGTTTTGCAGACACCATAAAGGGCAGGGAAAGGAAAAGAGAACACTTGCAATCAGGCCACCACAAGTACAGGTTTTGCAGAATTGTCTTTGCTCTTTCAGAACAAAACAGCAGGGTGTGTAGATATATATGTGAGATATATATGAGTGCATGGCGGATGGATATGAAAAGGTCCCCCCTCTCTCATTCTTGTCTCGCAGGCTCTCGTGAAATGGAAAGAGAGATTCTGAAGGGCTTCTCTTCTTCCATTTCTTTCCATTCTCATTCTGTTGTTTCGGCCGGTGTGTACTCGGTGGCAGTCCTCTGGTGACCAAGGTAATGCCAGAGTGTGTGATATTGTGCTGAGAATAAAAGCATGAGCCTGTAGAGCAGAACCCCCCCCGCCCCGCCCCATGTGGAGAGAAATAGAGAAGAGATGAATTGGGACCTGCAGCTCCTCAGAGATACTGGTGTGCGTGATTACTGAGTCCGATTCTCCACACGCTGCCATCAGAGCTGGTACCACTTCTTATCTTTGTACTTCAGCATCATCTGAAGAGAGCAAAAGAGAAAAGAGTCAGAGTCAGAAGCGAAAAAAAAAAAGTTGATGTGAGAACATTCTTGAGTACGTAATGAATTCTCAAGAGCGTACATCATGAGCATGTTTGGAGAAGGAATCTGCGCTGGCCATCATGGCTGCTGTTCTCTCGTCCAGCTCGCCCAGCTTCTGCCCTCTCTCGTCCAAAGCTATTCGGGCTCTTGCAAGGTCTCCAACGACCCCGGACGCTGCACCCTTCATGCCCTCCATGCCCCCAGGGCCGGGGATGTGCTGCGCCAGGCTGCGGGAGGCCTTACCGGCAGCTGTTTCACCAACTACCAAAGACAAAAGCAGAAATCCAGTTATCAAGGTATAAAATGTAAACATTCAACTTGGAATATAATCCGTTATTGGAATATCAATAATAGAGAGTCAAAGTTAATATTCAATGTAAAAGTAAGCCAATATGGACAATTTTATGTGGGTGGAAAAAAGTTAGAATATGATACAAGGGCATCTGTACTCACATAGGTCCTCCCGGTCCAAAGATTGAGCTCCTCCCCCGAAAAGGCCTTTGAAGAAACCTCTGTTAGGAGCCTCTGGTGTTTCCACAGGAGTGAATAACTCACTGAGCATCTCCTGAGGAAGACACAAACATCAGCACTTCAGTCTATAATGCGTGTTGAAATAAAGACTGACATATAAAAAGTATGCTAGCACAAAAAGAAAAGGTATTTATACCTCCTCCAACATGGAAAGTATTTTTTTTTTTACAGATTTAGAATGATTGGATTTGATTGTAAATCTCATAATCTACTCAAGGGTGTCTGACCTGCAGGCTATCACGAGTCTCCAAGAAAGTCTCATCCACTAGTTAAAAGATTATCTGACCTGCAGGTTATCGCAGGTCTCCTGGCTGTAGGTGATCCTCTGGATCTCGGTGGAGGAGGTTAGGTACAGGGCCTGACCCAGGTTAGAGAAGCAGAACGTTCTGGCTATCCTCATATCTGTCAGCGGCAGGTAGTTCATGTCTAGCAGAGGCCGTAGACTGGGCAAACTGTCAGGATACAAAGAGGGAACATTATCATTATGTCAGGAGACCATTATTATTAGGCTTTTTTGCCTTTATAAGAGAGACAGGACAGTGGACAGAGTTGGAAATTGGAGAGAGAGAGAGAGAGAGAGTTTGTGGGACAACATGCGGGAGAGGAGCCAAAGGGAAGATTCAAACCTGAGCTCTGAGGAGCACAGCCTCTGTACATGGGAGCGCGCAAACTAACCACTCGGCCAACGGCGCCCCAGAACATCATACAATTTTTACAATTGTGATAAACAAATGTTTTCATTATCTATTTGATCTTTAGCAAGTACATACTAGAGGGTTTACCTGAGAGTCATGATGTGTCCGTTAGCACAGAAACATGCGATGCAGTTCGATCCGGCCATCTGCACCACATCGGCCCTCAGCACAAAGGAGGACTCTGTGATGTTGTGTTTGTAGAGTCGGGTCTGCGAGGGCATAGCCAGCACTTTGGCCTGTTTCTCTGAACACAGCACGGCAAACTGGGAATCCTGACCCTCTTGTGACGAGGGAGGGGTGGCTGGCCTGCGCCTCCGGCTCTTCTCCTTCTCCTCATCTGATGCATTCGCGTCATACCATGGCTCGTAGGAAGGGGGCAGCAGAGCTCCAGCGGCGTCCAACAAGGCCATCGTCATAATTCCTCCTTTGAGGCTTGCCATGGTGCCTAAAGAACAAGTTTTAGAGAGGGGATTTTTTTTTTTCATCTTGAATGAAGAGACAGCCTTTAAATTAGCACAGAATGCCATGCAAAGTAGATCTCTTCATTTAGGACAGCTGCACAATAACTGTGACCCAAATCCACAATTCAACCTACAACCCACCCAGTTTCTGACTGTCGTGATATATCGAGTAAAAGTAATTGGCTTTTTTCCAGAAAAAACAAAAGGGACTGCACACAATATTTGGCATGGTAAAATGATACAGTGATCCTAAAACATGACTTTCTACAATAAAAGTTATACTTCTTTGGCCCACTGTTAGCAGGTGAGTTCAAAATCAAGTTCAGCAGAGTTTCTTACCGCAGGAAGAGATGCCGACGGGTTGCTGCAGCCTCTGGTCTCCGCCGGGCGGCATGCTGAGGGCCACCATCATCACCGAGCCCTGGGTGGTTCCCACCAGCAGACAGGGGCTGGCCAGGCTGTCATTCTTCCTGGGGAAACTCTCGCAGAAGTGAAAGGAAGAGATGGCCTCTCGAGATTCCCTCTCTATGCTGGTTACACTTGAACTACGTGAGCGGGTGAATGAGTTGTCCTTGGCATCTGAACAAAAGGAGTGAGAACAAACAAAGGAGAAAAAGGAAACAGTTTGTTTTAAAGTGAAATGAAGTTGAAGCAGGGTTCTCTGTGCAAACAGGAGGATAAGAGGTGGTAATGGCATGAAATTCACCAGGGGAAAACCAGGTTAACATGTTAGAGCTTTGTTTCTTTGTTATTACTGTATGTTTACCCACCACTACACCAAAACAAGCTTTTTGACATTGAGATGCTTTTGCACATTTTGCAGTCAGGAGTGATTATTTTGGACAATGGTTTCTATGATGTCATTTTCACAATTAAATCTGACAACAACATACTCAATGTGAAAAAATGCAGAAGAAATGCATGTAGTACTACAGGGACTCCCAAGGAAGAACTAGTATTTAAGGAGCAAGAATTATTCATGGTTCATTACTGTGCTGAAGGCAGCTGAAGCACAAGCTTTTACCCTCTTTAAAACAAGCTAATGATGGATCCCAACAGAAACACAGAAAGATCTGTGACACAGAGGGAACCGCCCGGCACGCGTGTTCTTCACAAGGAAAAACTGAAAACAAGAAAAGCAAGTTTTTAACACTCTGCAGTGGAGTCAGCCGAGCTTCCTCGAAAAAGAATCAAACAGTCATTGTGAGAAGATTAGTGTCATATGTCAGCCCTTTCAGAATAAAAGCCTCAGCAGCAGCGGGGGGGGGGTTAGTACAAGTTATCCCACTTCAGACCAAGTCAGACCACGGCTGGTCCACTCACTGAGGACGGGGACTGACATAGTTCTACAGACGCCCCCCTTCCGGATCACCTCCGCTGCAGCTGTGTCTTCGTTCACACTACAAACGCGCTTCTTACATGTGAGAGAGCGCCAACGCTGGGACCGCTCCTCTGCTCACAGTGCAAACAGAGACAGAGTGTTTGTCTAAAAGTACAGTAAACATCCCAAAACAGCAGAAATCTCACAATTAGACCAGCGTGCCAGAAGAGAGAAAAAGAAGCACTCTCCAACTTATCTTACGCTGTGAAATAGCCACAAAACAGCAGAAGTTTCAAATGACAGAAGTACAAAAAAAAAAACCTGAAGGTAAAAACATTAAGATGGTCAGAAGCTTAGATTCAGTAGTTTTTGGCTTACCCTGGTCTGGCCTTGGCTCGTGAGACGAGCTAATTTTCCGTGACATCTTGGCTGTAACAGAAACAAATATTCCTATTTTATGAGATAAGAATAAAAGCTAATAGTGATTGTTTTTGTTTTTTTTCCAATCTATAAGATAAGAAATAAATTTAATTCAAATCTTAACACTTCAGTATCATTTGTTTCACAGTAAAAATCATTGAAAATACAGTTTGAGTCATTCTTAAGAGTAGTGATCAGGCTGAAAGACAACTGTTGAGGGCATACACACAGAATATAATGTCTGACATTGAGCATTCATGTATTGCTTTAAGAACAATATTCTATTGTCTCTCTTAATTATTTGACTTCCTGTCCGCTACCAGGAGTGTTGGCAATCTTTTAGAATAAACACCCAAAAGTTGTCTGTTGCAGTCTATAACCACCCTTAGAGAAACCCTGCGAATATAAATGAAGCTGCGAGGCATCACAGACAGCAGTGGGGCCTGTAATATCAAACAAAGCAAGAGGCGGACAAGAAGTGAAGTAATTGCAATTCAGTGAACATAGTTATGCACAGGGAGAAGGAGGAGGAAAAAATCAGCAGATAGCCAAACACGGAGCTGAATCCTGGAATCAAGAACACAATCAAAGAGACACAATCCACTTCAACATTTAAGTGACACGGTTAGATATTAGTGCTATAAAGAATAAAGCATGATGCAGATTTTCTATGCGTTTGATTAAATTGCTTTCGGTCCAGACTATGAAGGCTTCATAGTTCAGTCAAAATATAGAGAGAAAATGCATAAAAATAAATGCATAGAAAATGTGATGCCTGGATCTACAAAGGAATCCTGTCATGCACTTGATAAAGAATCCTTATAAATTTCATAAATCAGCTTTTAAGAACCCCAGACCTTGATTAGTAAAACAAAACATTTCATAATTGCACACGTTTCTTTCATTGGCACAAGATGCACAGATTGACGCAGGATTAAGACACAGTGTGGTTAGATTGCTGTTATTCAGAGAGAAAAGAACGAATAGTCAGAGGATCATAGAACTGTATATATAAAGTGGATGTAGCCTCAGAGTGGGAGAATCAAAGCTACGTAATGCAGTAGCGTTTTAAACCTGCATTCTATCTAACGGCCAGCAGGGAGCGACTCCATTAATGATCTAAACAAATTTCATGGTTTGGAGGTCTACGAGAAAATGACACTACTCCTTTTTGATTTAAAACCTCTGAGACCATTTTTTTATCACAAGTTTATGGTCTCATTCAGTAATTTCAAGTCTTCTTCAACGCTGTATGGTTCTCTGTTTGTAAGCTAAAATCCCATTTTGATTCAAATACATGAGAAAGGGAGGTTATGGTGCTGCCACTTCATGATTGATAAGTTGATACCACAGCAATCAGAAAAGTGTCTCACGAAGTGTTAAAAACTAAAAAACACTGTTAGCTGAAGTTGTTCTATTTATTAAGCCGCCATTTTTGTATAAAGCCTTCTCTTCTTTAGCCAAAATAAGCCTTTCCATTCCGGATGCATCTTGCTAACTAAGTTAGAACTCATCAGCGTATAGCAGTTGCAATTAATTTTAAGTGTTTAAAGGTCATTTTTATCTGACAAATATATTTCAATAAAGCATTTTTACACTCAAATAATAATGTTTTTTTCTCTTCCCAAACAACGTTTACAACGTCTGCTGACTCATCCTGCACTTAGGGCGTTTTTTTCCACCAATTACAAAACTTTGTCGAAGGTAACGATCCCATCAAATTTATCCAAACATTACAGTTTGTTACGCCTTCTATCTTGTGATTGGTTCCATCACGTTTCAGTTGGAAAAACATCATGACAAGGCAATTAAATACTCAGGAAGTTTAATGGGGAAATAAAACCTTGTCATGGCTAGCCAAAATTAGCCTCTATATTAGAATAATATACACTGAATTCTGAATGCACCCTGCTAACTAAGCTAGCACTAGTTCAGTGTTAGCTGATGGTACAGCGTTTTTTTTTCTCATTTCTTTAAAAGTCTTGTCTTTGCTTTTAAAAAAAAAAAAGCCTCCTAATAAGAATCAAAGTTACAGTGAATTCAAATGGCACACTGCTTTCTAAGCTAGCGTATTTTAAGCTCCACACTCTTATCCAATTTTCATAATAAAAAAAAAATCCAACATGGCAAAGGCCATAATGCAAAACTAGAGGCCTCAAAATTCCTAAAAACAAAACTATTACGTCACAATGGCTACGTCCACTTTAAATATACAGTCTCTAGAGAGAATACATGTGGATGATACAGTACCAAAGTCATTGGCAACCGTCTTGGAAAAACGTCTGCTTTTGTTTTTCACTGGAAATAAGGTTCAAAGAGACAAATCAGAAAACTGCAGCAATTTAAAAAAAAAATTAAACAGCTTCTCTAAGATACAGTACCCTTCTCTATGAAGTTCTGCTTTCGTTCATCATCTGAATTGTTAGGTGAGGTAGATCCTATGTGACAAATGGCAGCATTGAAGTAAAGTATTTAAAAATGACAACCTTTGACTTTGAGGAGACTGACCTGAAGTCGGTGATTTGCAGCGATCTTCTGAGGGGTTGGCCCCATCGTTGGAATCAGAGAGGGCTGCGGGAGGAGCGAGAGTGGCATTAAAACACAGCAGAATTTAGTTTATTCTTTTAGAATAATCTCTGCATGTCTATGCTATTTCCTGAAGTAAATATAATGGAAACAATAAAGGGTCACCTATTTGAGCAAAGGCAGGGACAGCTACCCAGACAGTGTAGGAAGAAAAGCCACACTTGAGTTCACTTCACAAATCTAGAACAAGTCTGATAGCTTAGGGTGCCAGCACTGTTTGTCGAGGAAAATAGATAGCAGGATTTAAAGATACACAACCAGATTTTGTTGAAGTGCTCTCAAGTCTCCCAATTTCCTCCCAGCTCACTGTCAAATGTTTTAAAAAGTCAATAGAGAGGATTTCGGGGGATTTCGGGTAGCTAAATCAATAACAAGGAGTGTATCCTTATGAGAAAACAGGGAAAGTTCAGAGGAGAGAAATGATACTTTAAGGGTGTGGGAGAAATTCTGACACAACATGACTTACTGAAGTGAGATGAGCGTAGCTTTTTCACAGAGTCAGAATACAAGTTAGAAAGTCTGGACATGCAAGAAGTCACAGGTGGAACATCTTTACCACAGAAAGAGAGCGACAGTAAGAACAGTGACACAGGAAAATGATCAACAGTGCAAACGAAAAAGAACGATACGAGTCTCAGGGGCTTGCTGCAGTATTTCTAATTATGACTAAACAGTAATCAGAATACATTCTTCAAGTGTGCACAAATTAAACTTTGCTACTCAAGACAGTGCAACCTCAATAAAAGAGTTTTAAATGTAGCGGCAGACCACTGAGACTGAAAAGAATGAATAACAAACAAGATGATCAGGCAGAGACAAAAACACAGTAAAAGACGTGACAGAAATGTTCACACTAAAACAAACTAATAATCATGAGTTGGCTCTGTTATACCATTACAAGAATCAAAAGTAAACACTACTGCAGTGATACAGCTTTTCCTCTGACTGCAAGATCATTTGGTCTGTGCAACTGAACAGATGGAGAATCTGTCAGTGATGCCCCCTGTTGAGGGACAGGAGCTACTGCAGGGGGCGGTGCTCATGGTGCGAAGTCAAAGCTGCTGCCAAGTGTCAGCCCCGCATCCCTAACCAACCTCTTAACAGTCAGAGTCAGAGCCCTTCAGATAAATATTTGGATTGCTAAATATAGGGATATAACAAATAATTAGGGTATTTAATTAAGCTGTAAATTGGGGCAGAATGCGTAAGTTCCAGAAAGTGAACGATAGAAAAACATGTCAAATCACCTCCAGAGGGCTGCCGTTGTTTACGCGGGGAGCGAGGCTGCCTCTGGTAGGGATCAGATGGGCTGTACAGATCCGATGTGCCCATGTTGAGGAGCAGAGTTTTCTGGAGGTAGTCCACCACAGCGAGACCACTACTGTTTCCAAACACCACACTGAAACACAGGAGGAATGAGTAACAGAGTGGGTCTTGGGATTAAGATGCTATTTTTGTCATCAACTCCTTGCAATGAACAAACATTAAATCCAGTTTCTGTGTGACTGAAACTAAAGCTTCTACATGCACAGCTTTAGCTGCTGGACAGGGATCACCATCACAATCAAGACACATTTTTGAATGAAGTCACTGTGATCTCTAGCTGTGAGGACTTACAGGCCATAAGAGGAGTTGATAGCCAGGCTTGTGATTGGCTGAGGTGGATCCCCGCTCACCCACACCAGCTGAATCACCAGCTCCACCTGGTAGCCCGGAGACTGTTTCAGCGGGGAGCTCCGCACCCTGCATCAAACACACAGCAGGATGAGACAGCAGGCTGCACATGACACTGGAAAGATTTATCACCTATGGTGCAAGTCACACTGGCAAGATCGTTTTTCATAACTGATATTCTCCCATCAACCCTTTTCACTTATAAAACATTTTTTTCATTTTTAATATTTTTGTAAACAGGATTATTTCCCTCTGGTGTGCTAATGTGGAAATATATTCAAGGACTGAGGACTGAAAGGATCACTTACTCAAATAACCTTTTTAGCAACACTTTTAGGTTTGTTAATTATGACCTAAATAGCTGAGTAAAACTTTAAACATGATCTTGCAAAAAAAAAAATGCTGTAGTCCTTACTGTAGGCATGGTATATTGTCGCGGGGTCCGTCAGAGGAGTTGCTGCCGGTGGAGGGCTGAGTGGGAAGCTCGCCCTCCTGCGGGCTGGAGGAAGCTCCTGGGGTGGGAAGGGTGGGAGTCTGCTCCCCTCCTGGATCCGGGGAGTCCCCGTCGCTGAACTCACCCTGCATCCGCACCTCCAAAAGCTGAACACAAGATATGATGTCTCACAAAAGGCTGTTACATCTCAAAACAGCTGTAAATGTTTCTTTTCTAACCATGGATGACCTCTGAATTATCTCACAGTCAAAAAAAGAAGATGTAAAACCAAGGTTTAAACAATGATAAATATATATGACAAGAAGTTGACATGTTTCTGATGACACATTAAAATGGATATAATTGTATACCAACCTGCACAACTTCAGTGGTGATCTCTTGTTTGCTAAACCTGTAGACGATAACATGGGCGGACACACCGGCCACACAGAGCATCCTGCTCTCTGGGCACCAGGACAAGGTCTGGATCGCAAACGGGTCCTCTTCTACGATATCCGTACTTGGCTTCTCCTCCTTACCTCGAGTCCTTTCAAACACCTTGGCAGTCTTTAGCTTGTACAGCACTTGAAGCATTACTTTGAGAGAAAAAACAGAGGAGTAAGAAAGATATGATGCAGTGTGTTCAAAATGATAAACAACAGTTCTAGGCAGCATTAAGTTTGTAGTTGACGAGGGATTATTATAAGGTGATCGTTTGCTCTTACTGACATTGTTCCCTTTTTTCTAGATCCTTGCTTGTGTTGTACTTACTCTCTGATGTACATCGCTTTGGATAAAAGCGTCTGCTAAGTGAATTGTAGAATTGTAGAACTGTATTATACAAACAACTTCTCCTAACAGTTTTGGGGACGCTTTTTACGCAGATGACACCGTTGTGTATACACAAGAGATGTTTCCAGACGACTTATTTCCTTGTTAGTTAAACGGAAATTTAAATTCAGACTAACCGGCTAATCTATATGTAAGAAAACACTCAGAAAACAGTCTTAATTGAGCACAATTTATTTGAACTTGTCTGAGGGTAGACAATGTTATTTGATTTGCAGAGTGTGGCTAACGTTAGCGGTGCTAGCAAAACCAGCAAGTTAACATCCCCATGACTGTGCCAAACGTGATTACACACTACTTTGGTTGATATGCCAGATCTTACACAGCCTACATATATTTTTATCAAAATTTTTCACGCTGCTCTGAAGTATTATCTGTTCACTGTGCTTGTTTACATCCTGGTGTGTAGAGCAGGCCCATTAACTGGAGATACAGCCAGTTTGAGCATGAAATTTGAGCGGCATTGAGGACCAATATATATAAATATTTATAATTTGTCCAAGCGACTACTAATTCTGGCAAGGGGGATAAGACATTTAACCGTTTAGTCAAGTAAGATAAACTTTAAATGTAGTCAGTCTACTTCAAAGCTTACCATGGCAAAGAGAATCAATCTTAGCGTTTTCAATTGCATCCTACACTTCATATGAGTATGTTTAAATGTGCCTCTCCAATATCTGAGAACCATATAAAGCTAGCTCCATATAACAATTTTAAAAAACTACTGAATTTCTGAGGATAAATTCTTTGTCGATTGAGTTCATACAAAATATTCATTTCCCTCTGAATACTTTCCAATGTTTGATTCTTTCAATGTCAGAAGTTTGAAAAAGAGATGTATGAATGGCCTTTGTATCCTGTTTGTTTGACTTGATGATAGGGAGCTGAAGTATTATAACTGGACTGGTTGGTATTGTACATATCTTAACCTGCCATATGTCTTCTGATGGTAATTAAGCAAGTACTTAATGTAACAACAGCCCAGAGCCTGAAAGAATCCCACATAGCTCCATACAAATAAACGGAATAAAATCAAAGGAAACTACTCACATGCAGAAGCATCCCAGAATTTGATCGACCCGTCAGCATGTCTATTTATTGGACCAAAAAAAAAAAGAGATCATTTGGAAAATGCCAGACGATGGTATGTGTATGATAACTTCATCCTTTGATATTAAGTCACTTACCCGGTGATTATTATCTCAGGGTAACTCTGAGTGCCTTGGCCCCAGTTTCCTCCACTAATGGGCCATTCCTGTGAAAAGAAAACAAATGCTCAGTTAATAAGTTAATTTACATGACAAAGTTTGTTTTTTTAAAAGGCCTCTGTGATTTTTGTTACCCGTTTAAGATCATAACTAATGTATCCAGAAGTCATTTCCAGTGGCCAATGCATTCTAAGCACAGATAATAAAAGTGATTTACCTTCTTACTGTAGCCTTGTCTCTTTTGCCGGCTGCCGACTGAGTAAAGTGCAGGAATGAGTTCAGCAGGGCAGTCGGCAAAGTACTCACAGCAGGTCACCGGTGACTCATGGATAGTCAGAGGATATGGATTTCAAATATAGGGTACCTGCCAAGACATTAAGCCATATGTTAGATTGGAAAATGACCATGTCTGCATGTTTTCTGCACGAGATGCAACGATGTCTCCCTTGCAATACTGTCGCTTCTCTTGACTGACCAATCAACAAGTTGAAATGTTCAATAAAATTGCCATGACTTTGTATTTTAACAAATAAATGTTTGACATTGAAACCCAAAGATCTGGACTGCGACCTCTGACCTTTGACACACAGATTCATGGTCATCTTTCACCTCAAATACTTTGGCTGATGATTCAAATTTCACTGCTAGCTGATAATAAACTGAGTTTCAAAACATCAACAGTGAGATGGAGGTACTGTTTGGTGCTGGAAGTAAATCCAGGTCTGCATCTTCTCTATTTATGGTATATGTTGGCGAGCTGCCTTTAGTAATTACAATCACTGGATGAGTTTTAAATGCACCCACCCACACTGCATAATGCAAGAGCAATAAAAAAAAATTCAAGAAAGAAAAGCCTGGGATTTGGATTTAAAAGAGTCTCCTCTTACTGTATAATTGGGATAAAATGGTAAATAGAGGAACAATAAACCTGGGGGGAAAAGTAATAAAGATTAAAATAAAAAGAACATTATGCTTGCTTGACTACAAAAGCATTCCCTCTCGTACTGAAAGCTAGATATTCTGTTTTGTCAGGAGACATTTAAAGAACGGGAGTAAGTGAAGAAATGTGATAGCTCTTGTGTAATCAAAAAACGTGATACATTTATGATTTCTGAACACAACGCAGAATATATTTATCAATGTATTGTAATTCTTTCCATGAACTGCACAGGTGAATAATCCTGTTTTTGACCACTTTCGTCAACATTTTCAAATGAAATGATGAACATAATTTTATACTTTTACACTGTAAATCAATATGGATCTAAAATACACATTTTTTGTTTTGTATTTCACACATGCACTAAACCTCTTTAGGGTAAGCTGCTATTGTGAATGAACATGACCACATTTTCACCCCAATTTATGAAGACTATTTTTCAGCTACATAATAGTTCCTGGTCGCTGGTATGTTCTTCTCTTCTTTTAATTTAATACGTCCAATGATGTAACAATGATTTAATCAAACACTTTTGTTGTTGTGTCGGACCTTGCAGGGAAAACTTTTTGCTGTGAGGGATAGATGTGAATAAGCAATTCAGGAAGATTTCAGTGGCAGGCAAGAGATTTCAGGGGACAAGTTATGTGAAATCTGCTTTTGTTGCACATCCAAACTTCTTCTCCTGATCTATATTAAGAAAGCAATATAAATACCCGATCTGTCCGAGGTCTATTACAACTAAATCCTTCTCGAGGAGGACGACAACAGCATAAGGTTCCTGAAAGTCTGGCAAGAAAAGAAACATGAAATGTTGACATTTCAGGGGGTTAACACAGACATGAACAAAATGTGCAGAGATGGGTGTGGCAGCTCACCGCTCGGATATGGAGTTTCACACAGCGTTAGGAAATCCACAATGGGGTAGTCCATCTCCAGGACGGTAGTGCTCTTACCATGCATCACAGTCAGACAGGCTCTCCTCCCCACTGTATCGTAAGACAGACCTCCTGACAGAACCATGAATGGGTCCCTGAGTACAGAAAAGACACACACACAAACATTTTAATTGTTCATTCAATAAAATTGACTACCTACATGGTCCAATCAGAAGTAAATGGTTATAGAGGGAGACACAAATGTTACCCTCGTGCTTCCACACTTTGCCCCCGTTTTAAGAGCATCTACAATAGAGCTAGCCTACTTTTTAATTATAAAGACGACTATATTAATCCCTGTCCTCTTATACCTGAGGAAAAATCAGAGGGATAATTAGATCGCCTTCAGTGAAATAGTTAATTTTTTTATGTCAGGTTTTCTTTTTTTTTTTCTTTTTTTTTTTAAGGGAAGTTTTGTCTCTTACTTTGTGACCTTGAAGCTAAAACCTTGTTCTCTTCAGATAATGATGATTTTGTCACAATAATCAAAACGCAATTAACATGCAACCTCAAAGGAACGACAAATCATTTGTCATGATCACGAAATAATTTAGCTAATTATCGCATCAAAACAAAGCCAGTGGAACATGGAGATAATGAGACATGGCCTTTTCCAGCAGCATAAAGGTCACTGTCAACAGGACTAGCCTGTTTTATATATGCTGTTTGGACAAAATAACAGGAAAGGGCACTTTTAGAACAGGATATCGATTCAAACCAGCGTTGGTTAAGACACAGGATGGGTGGGGACTTTTTACCATCACACTTACCCCGCCCTTGTTGTTTTGTACTCCACTTTTAGGATAGGCTTGCATGGCTCTGGCTTTTTTCCATCTTTAGGCTGCTTTCCTAGAAGATCAAACGGCACGAATGCATTTTATTTCAGCTGGTACAGGTGCAGGTTATATAGTGTACAAATGCTTAGGTACAAGCATAAACATGCAACCTCAATCACTAAGTTTTCTACAAGTAACACTCTAAGATTAGATGAACTCTGAGCTTCAATATGTGGTTTTAAAGACAGTTGGCTTCTATTCAATACCTTTGTGTGTGTGTTTGTATAAACAATAAAAAGTGTGTGTTAACAACAGTCCCTACCATGTGGTGTGATGATCTGTGCAGCTTTGGCTGGGGCTCGTATATTCCATGTGGTCAGCGTGCCATCGGAGTGGCTGCACACAAACTGTTTACCCTCGTGATGCCAGGCAGCTGAGTGGATCGCCTGAAAGACACACAGCGGCAAGTCATTAGAGCGCAATAAGAGCGCACACACACATTTCACAGCTGTATTGTACAACAAATAGGATGAACCTCTTTAAAAGGATGAGCCTGGAATTGAAGATAGTTCTTGTTTTCAAACAAAAAGAGCAAAACCAAGAGTACATTGGCCCGTCTCACAAAACTTTCTAACTTCCTCCGTGGCACTCTGGGCTTTTAGTTTCTAGTGAAGTCATAAGTCTTTAGAAAATAGATCAGAAAATGTACTTATGATCTACAACGGCTGCTCACTGTAGTTTTAGCAAATCTGACTCTTAACAGAAGAACAGTGTCTTCCTTGGGGACTACTTTTAGATTAATAAACAAGTTCTACAAAGTAAATTTGGCAGCAGGACGGTGTGAGTGGACACAGCTCAAATATTACATGGTGTGTGTTAATCAAATAAAACGAACATGTTGTCTGGTGCAACAGTCTGGCTCTTTGAAGCAACACAACAGAGCTCGATGGCACAGAGGAATAAAGCGACGCTTGTTTCATTGTTGGTTTTTGGTCTTTAATGGATTTGATCAGAGTACACACTACTATCGCAAGATGAATCCCTAAAGGTACATCTGCTTCTGTAATGCTTCTCTGATTGAAGAGAACTTGATTTTGCACATATTTGCATCGTCTCATTTCATGTTGTAATCTAGAAAAATATTGTTGTTTTTTCTCACTTAATTGATCGACTGGATGTCATTCTTAAATACGTCTGCAATAGGGGTGCGAACGAGTATTGAGTACCCGAGTACTCGTTCATTAAATAATAATCGGTTCCAAAAAAAAATTTAATCGATAATCTTTTTGTAGTCCACATTTTTGTAAAAGTTTCTCGTTGCATTGTGGGTTCTAGGATAGGCCTAATTCAAAACAGAAAAAAAGGAGCACGAGCGCAAAAAGAACATAGATGACAAACAAAGTGATGATAAAGGCTCTGTACGCTGCTACCCTAACAAAAATATCCCTTTAATTAACCCCCCTATGAATTCACAATGAACAAAAAGTCCCAAACAAACGAAATATGCAACATGATCTACGAAAGTTCAGTTCAAATTGTCTTTTTAGTCCACAGAAAAAGAAGGACTTTCACTTTGCGATTACCGCTTTACTCCGCTAAACCAAAGACGTTTGATCATCCAGGACAGAGCAGCATAACACGATGTTTTCCTATATTTTGGAATTTTAGATGATTATTCTTTTAATAACTACAAAAAGGAACAACCTTATAGGGAGAAATAGCTCATAGCGGACGGACGAGCGAGATTGAGCGAGTGCTGTCATTACGCACAGAGGAGAAAGATGAAACAGACAGACACTTAAATCGTTCACCTGTTCTATTGTAACTTCATTTACCAGAGTAAAGTGTGCTCTACACTGCAGACTGTGGTCTTTGTTGACAGAATGCTGCTGTCAAAACAGCTTCAAAGTGCGATGAGTGCACATTGATGTCTGCATGGCCGCTCGCCACACTGCTCTAATTATAATAAAGTGTTAACACGGTCATAACACGTCTGTGTGAATTTTCATTTGAGGTTTGCTGTCTGTTGAAGTAAGAAATGTCATATTTGAATGTTAATACAAAGGCATCTTACTAAGAATTATTAAAATCCCGAAGATTCAAATTAATCAACAGATACAGTCGGCATCGCGTCATAGTTGGGGGCGGGGCCTCCCGTGGGGGAAAAGAATCACAGAAAAAAAAAAAGAACTACAAAACGATTACTCGAGTACTCGCTTTAACAACGGGAAGAGTAATCGATTAGAGAAAATTTTGCATTTCTGCACCCCTAGTCTGTATAATATATGAATAACAAGCTTCACTGTGTAAAGCCCAGCTCTAACAACAGTCCCTCAACATGAAAGTTCCTCAGACTAAATCAGAGAGGTTTAACGGGACACAGTTTCAGGTCTCATGAGGAAACATTTCAGAGCTACAGCCATCTGAAATAAAAGTGACAAATATGCAAAACCTACCCAGACCAGACATGTTGATTTGACAAAAGTGGGGGGAAAAAAAGTGGACAAATTAACTCGGAGCTCTCACAAGGATTGAGCAGAAAAGGAAATAATGCCTTACCTCATCGTAATTGTAGCGGTAGTCAGCTTTTTTGCACTTCAAATCCCACATCACCACAACCCCGCACTCAAATCCAATCAGAAGCTGTAATAACAAGAAGAGCAAAGCAAAGCACAGCTCAGCTGGCTGCTGTGAAAACCACATTCTGCACATGTAACTGGAGTTAACACGACTGCATCATCATCTACACCTGTGACGGTCATAGTATGGGACATCATTAAGAAGACTTCTTAACCTCACTCATACTTTGTTATTTAGACGGATTTATGATTGAGAAGAACGGTGTTTATTACACAAAAAAAGTTAAATTCTGACACATAATAAAGTACATTTATTTAATGACTTGAAAACACCAACAAATTGTTCATTGTAAACAAGATAAATTGAAACCCAATTATTATCATTTGTATCAGTTAACAGTATTTCAAATCTGTTTCTAATAGTGTAGTTGTCAGTGGTGATCCCATATTTGAAGAATTTAACATGAAGTGTGTCTGGCAGCAGTAGCTCAGTCCGTAGGGATTGGTTTGGGAACAAGAGGGTCGAGTTTAAGTCAGAGTACGGACCAAAGTATTGCAATTGATGTGGTAGCTGGATGGTAGGTAGTTCAGTTCCAGAGCACTGCCGAGGTGCCCTCTAGCATGGCATCGTACCCCTAACAGCTCAGCTTAAGTGACCCCATCTGAAGGGTACAAGTATGATAAAAAAATCTTTACAATGGAACCAACTAGCATCTCTTTGAAGGCTTCACAAAATTACATTTGGGGATTATGGGAGAAGAGGAAATCATAAATGTCCCAAAGACGCCCTTCACTTGATTAGATTGTTTGATAAGTTAACACCTCGGTATAAATGTGTGTGCAGGAATGCGAAAAAAATGCCACGCTCAAATTATTTTTGTTTTGTTTTTAAATCTATACTGTAAAAATAGTTGCTGTCTTTCATTTGTGATTCTGTGTGATTCCAAATGAATTAAAAAAAAAAGCAACATAAGTATGTTGCATTAAATGAAGTGGTTGGGGATGAGCACAAAGGTTTGTTAAATGATCTAAATATTTGATGAACACTAATAATGTGTGGATATGGTCATGGCCACAGAGCTCACTTTAAAGACGACGTGTGCAATGCATTGTGGTCTATCTCCATCTCTTCTATGAGACAGTTTCAGTGAAGGATGAGTCTTAAAAGGCTCTTTTAAATGATTGATTAACACACCAAAAACATGATGTTTAGTATTGACAGTTTCATTAGTTGGAAATGTTCTGCTTCCTTTCTCCTCTGTAGCTGAACAACACTTATTGACATCACTGCATCATCTAGGCTGGAAAAGCCGAGTACACGAGTACACACCCTGATGACAATGACTGGTTCTGCTATGTTTACGTTTTTAGCTTGAAAACTTAAAAGACAGGATCTACAGATTCTGTTGAGGTCAGCTATTATTTACCTTTCCTTCATCCATGGGGTTATCACTGATGTGCACCACAGGCCCGGGGTGTGTCTTTGTGGATCTGAGCAAGTTTAAGAGACAAAAGAGAAGAAAGAAGACAGAGATTGAAGATGTGCGTGTGTAAATGTAAGTGCATTTATAAAGAGTAAAATGTATCGAGTAAATTCTCTTTAAATTTGATCGTCTAGCCTTCAGATGGAGAAAACATTTCGGGAAGTAATCAGGAAAGGTATCCCGCCAAAGAAATGAAATGCTGAAAAATAAGACTCTCCGTTTGTGCGCAAGAAGGAAACAAACAGGAATATAAGAGGAAAATGTGCATTAGTGCAGCAGAAAGAGACAGAGATGACATATGAGAGAGAAATAGAGAGAGGGGAGTGGGGGGGGGTCACTTGAGGGTCTGTGAGAGATAATCGTGTGTGGAGACAGCATCACCGTGGCAACGGTGCAAGGGCCATGGAGGAAGTGAAGGTCTGGCCAAAAGAAAGTGTTGCTGCCTCTGAATGTGGTCTGGCTCCACCGGCTAATGATCTCATTGCTGCTGATGAGTCGATACAGTCGCAGATGTAGCAGTGAGTAAAAGGCAGGGACGGAGCCGAACATCAACTCCAGCCGCCGGAAATCACAACATGAAACACCACCCATATAAAGAACTGATTTGAATGTGTAATGACAACAGATGTATTCATACAGTGAGGTTGTTATCCTCATATTAAAAATCATTTAGAAGTTCAGGTGTGCTTACGTTCCACTTTGGCACTAAATATGAGTGTTAAGGATTCCATTGGCTGTTTCTACTATAAGACGATAAACTACACACAGACTCCCTACCTAAACCTACCTTCCCTTTTTTATGTCTGTCTGGATTTTTACTCATGATTGCTTTTAAATGTATATCTTTGTTTTATTGCAAGTATTACAACTGGAGTAGGGCTGGGCGATATGGCCTGAAAATAAAATCTACATTTTTTCACACTAAACTCGATTTAGGGTTTTAATCTTTTTTTCTTCTTCTTAGAGTTCTTCAAATAAATGACTGAAAACAAGTTTTTCTTTAATTGTATCATTAAAACGTGACAAAAGCAAACTGAATTTCCCTACAAGGATTAATAGATGAGTCTGGATTTCTCTTTTGGGATTCAAATACAAGCTGTAAACTCGTCTTTAAAAGTGCTCTGTGCTTTTTCCGGTTACGCCAACAGTACAGATGAGGCAGAGCAACTTCATCCAAATACTTGTGGCTGGGAGGCAAATACCCGGGGCCACTCGGCCACAAAGAAGTAAGAAGTAAAAGAGTGGGGAGGATGTGAACTATCCAACCAGCCCTTGGGAGCAGCTGAGTCATTGCAAGAGAAAATCTAGATTTTAATTTCTGAAAATGCTCCCTGACAACAAATACTATTTATGGATCAAATGGATTTATTCACTCAGCCCTTTGTTGGAATAAAGCTTATTCTTATTTTGTTTATCATCTACAAAACTATAAAGATACAGAAAGGGAAAACTTGTGGAAAAGATTGTATAAGTATAATACAATTGAAATAAAAACTGAGATATAACTCAAACTGTTGTTCTCAACTTGTGGGTCATGGAGCCCACTGTACCTGGAAAAAGATTTAGTAAAAAAGTCTATGAATCACATGTTTGTACTGTCTGAGGTCCAAAATGAAACATTTTTTTATCAAACAAATCCCAATGGTTTAAGACATTTGGGTCGCAATTTGAGTTGGTGTTGGATCCTGAGGCTGAACCCGTTTCGAATCCCTGAACTAAAAGACAACACACTACGAAGCAGAAAAGATTTTATCACTGCAATGGAATCTCTTTTTTTTTTTTTTTTTTTTTAAAAAGACTCTCCACGCTGTTATTTCTAAACTACTTGATGTGCTTCTTGATATCCCTGGCCAACAATCTACGTATGGTGTGGACACAGCTATCCACTGCTGAAGCATGATAATTAAGGAGCTCCATGAACACAACATCACACTGTCAAGTCACCATGCAGACCTCCTACAGCGCACCACACAAACTGTGTGATGGAGGAGCATCATGAATTCTGTCTTCATCTACTCTGATGCACTTCTTTCCGTTCTGTGCTGTGTTCCAGGGACCGCCAAAGACGCTTTGGAATCAGATTTGAGCAAGCGAGAGCTCCCACTCGGAGGCATATTTGTAGAAATAAGAGAGGAACTGTGGAATAGCAAGAATTTATAAATGGCACCAATTTGGTAGCAAGTTACATTTGCCAAAATAAGGATTTGGACTGACATTCTTAACTAAGGATGCAAAATATGGAACTTTTGCTCAATTATTGTGTCACTTCTTTCCAACTCATTTTGGCAGATTGCAGATGCATTCGCCCATTCTTTTTCCGGACTTCTGTAGACTTCTGTTACTTCTGTAGTGGAATCAACGAATTAGTTTGTCTCGTCTAACAGTGATAGAGGGCCCATACTGTAAGTACATATTGACATAGAACACATTACTTCTCTAAATGTACCCACTCTGCATACAATGCTGAAGCCTGATCCCCTTCTGGTGCTGTTTGGAGTCTCTGATCAGTTTTTCCAGGCTTAAGACATTTCAACAACAACTGCTATTCTGGGACCTTATCAAAGCAGAGAGACTTATCTAAATGTTTTGGTTTGAAAGCTGAAGCCCGACCTGGAAGAAATAATACAACTCTTTCATTTGGAGAGAATTCGGCTCCAGTTATTGAATAAACTGAGGAATTTCAATCCCCTTCTTTAACAGTGAAGAAGAAGAAAACTCAATAACTGATAACTAAACAACAATGATCGCCCCCCCCCCCTTCGGAGTGACAGGGAGTAAAGTCCCAAGAAGGGGGCGGGATAATTGTGAATGATCTTGTTGTTGCCTTTTTAATGTCTTTTATTTTCTTTTTAATTTGACTTGTTGACTTGTCTGTTTACTTGTTTTCTTCAATTTAAAGTGAGGACACATCTGTTATACTTAATGTTTAACTACTTAGCTACTTCAATTCAAATATTTGAATTTAATTGTACACACTTAAATGTGGACTGTTAGCAGAACTATTCGCCTGTTACATATGATCTGAATATGATATGTGCATGTTGCATGAGTATGAAGCTTCATCTTGTCGCTCTGTCATATCTGCAGAAAGGCTCATTAAGGGTGGTTGCCAAAATTTTATTTTGGAGCTTTGACCTGATGATACAGATGACTTACCTACCTACAGAATTATTATGCATCACTGAAGGTCGGAATGACTTCTCGATCAAAGATCGCACAACTCTTCCACAAAGAAACGACAGAATATTTTGTTTTTAAGTTTCACTCTGAAGCCAGGAGCGCTTTTCTTTAATCATCTGCACAGTCAGACAGCCAAAATCATTTCCCCGTCTCCGCTGTCTGATTCACAGACATTTATCTGAGCTGATAGCATACTTTGGTGTTCTGACACTTTCAACTCCTAGATCTAAAACAGCAATTTATCAGATTCACCAGCAGCAGTACAAACACACAAACACCCCCCCACACACACACACAAACACACCCACACACACTAACTCCGCTTCCAATTTTAGCTGCCAGTCAATCTGAGGTTGTTTCTCACAGATCACTGGCAGGTGAAGAAACACCTATGAAGAGAAACTTTTACAGGCTAAAGTTTTGCAGGAGAGTTTTTGTCACATTGTTCATTTTTAAAAGCCATTTCATTCACAGAACCAGCCACAGCAAACACACTAAAACCAACACAATCTGAAGATATTAGTCAGTGTTTTGGTGACAGTCAAATCTAATTTCACCCGAATGCGGCGCCAGCCAAGTTAAATCTGCAGGAAATGTTCAACATTGACCCGTGCCCAGGATGTGATGTATATTTCCTTGTGATTCTGACAGTGGGTGTTCACACGGGGGAGTGGGTGACACACAGAAAGCCACTGGGGCTATCTAGTGGGCACTTCCTATCACAGATGTTCCGTTAAATCGGGCAGCAAAACACCTCCAGGAGTCTCAGCAGCGAGTTCTGGCGAGGCACAATCACCACCTCCATGCCGCCCTCACACTGATCAGAGCTGCAGTATTCTCCGCTAACAGGACACGCTGTATCTGCAAACACACTCCTGTTTCGTTTTCAGAGTTTTTCGCGGTTCAGTGTCAACTCACACGAGTGCACAAAGAAGATATGCAAAAATAGGGAGCGAGCCGAGGAGAAAGAAAGAAACGGAGTTGGGTAAGTAAAAACTCACAGTTCGATGGCTTTGTTCCACATGATGACGTAGCCTGAGAGGGTGAAGGACTCCACGTTGACGATGTGGATGTTTCCTCTTTCCGTGCCGATGTAAAGCCATTTGCTCTGGAAAGGCAGGTGGCAGTACGTGATTCTGCGAGGGGAGATCAGGAGAAATCCATCACAACCTGGCTTTTCATTATTATCATGACTCAGTCCCATCAAACAGTCCCCCCCCCCACCCCACCTCCCAGTCCTTAATCATGCTGCTCCAACTGGAAGGAGTAGCGAGTGACTAAGATTTAATTACAAAGGCCTTGCTCTGTGTCACACTAATGAAGCCAGACTATATATAGAGCAGCAGGGAGGAATAGCAGAGTAAACACTGCTGTCTTTTCTCAACTCCTGAGACTCCTTCAGCCATACACCACATTTGAAACATTAAACAGACACGCCTGCAGTTTACTGTATTTGACTCTTAATCCATGCACAAACCCCTGATGGATATGTCTTTGGATTTAAAGCTTTAAACAAATTTAAAAAAAGGCATCAGTGATTTGATATTTAAGATTCACTTAGCATCCAAAAAGGTACCAGTAAAATGTATATTCAGAACTATTGGGAAACCCAGTTGTTGTTTTTCAAAACTTGTGGAGGCGTGGCAGATCAAGTTTTTCCTGCAACAAGACAATCAGTGTAGTGTAGCCCATGATGGACGCAGAGGAGGAAGCAGCACTCCAGTCACCTGACAATTGTTCATTTCTAATGGTCATTGAATGTTGACCTACAGACTGCTATCCACATTATAGTAAGCAGCTAGCATACCCATGCAAAGTGAAACAAGATGCCCCTATTTGCACTCAAAGCTAAACGATAGCTCTTTAGTTAGCCTAGTGCCATGTTATCAAAGGCCCCTCAGCTGAAAATAGCCACTGATAATCACCCACCGGGGACGCTCCAGCTGGTTGTCAAAAAAAAATAAAAGAAGCTTAAAATTCAAAGAGCTATAGAGCCAACATGATGAAAAAAAAAAGTTGGATCTACTCTTTCAATATTTAAAAAAAACAGATTACCTGATTAAAGCAGCATTTATTTATTTTGTTGAGCATATCATATGGAGAGACCACAAAACTGAACACATCTGACATCATCTCCTCACAAAGTGTTTTTGGTGCTTTCTAATGAAAACACAAGCTTTCTACAGACTCAAATTTCCTGCATCGTATAAATATGAAGCTGATTTCATTTCACACATTCGTCTAACACTCCTGAAATGTCAGCACAGCCTGTACCCTGAAATCTTCCCCGAGTTGCTAATTCACATATAAAAACAAAGAGACGACTGAATATTTAGTTTTTACATTTCACGCTCAAGCCAGGAGCTTCTGAAATGTCAGCACAGCCTGCGCCTGAAATCATCTCTTACTCACATATGTCCCTCACAGCGTGAAGTTTTCCCTGTTGGAGGGGGAGGGGGGTGGGGTGGGTCTCAGGAGGCAAGACATGACATAAAAATGGCTCTGTGGAAATCCAAGATGAAGATGGACGAAGCAACAGAGTCTAATGCTTTAGAGACAGTTTTTGTGTGCACAGTATCAACAGGAGAGGGAAACAGATCATACTGGGGAGCAGTAGCGGTACAAAGCTGCTCCATTATTTGCATGCCCGTGAATATTTCTGAATATTTCCTGCTGAGTTTGAACATCAGCTGATCCTAACTTCACCAGGGAATTTTACTGCTGCCAGGAAAGGGTCCAGATGTAATGTCGGGGTTAAAAATCAAGCTGTTTGCGTTCATACATGTAGCTCACACCTAGAAAATGATTGGTAGTTTTGTCAATGTCCATTGTCCTTTTAGCTTTGTTATAGTCTCCACCAACCCTGAACAAAAATCTTATGAAGCAGTCAGGTCTGATTATTATCCCATTTAATGCTGGACTGTGAGCATAGTGAAGGTTTATATCAGAACTTTTTATTTTCTATTTTATAGCTTTCAACATCTTTACTTCTTATGTTTTTTTTTTTTTTTTTGCTTTCATGCCGATTTGTATGTTATTATTGTGTCATGCAGACATTTATATGCCCAGCACACATGGGCTTACATGACACCATGAATGAAAATGTTCCAGGATCAGAGCGCACAGTAGGCCTATTCATTGTCATGGAACAAAAGGAGAAAGTCAAACCCTAACGAAACAGGATATCTTTTTTTCCAAGCTTTTGAGACAAAATTAGCAAGCTTAAACAGCCAATCCAGTTTTTACACATTTGTCCACCCCAATATTTCAGGTTATTGATAAGTGCTATATAAAATCATTGTTGTTATTATTATACCAGTGAACCTCAGAGTGCGGTTCAGAGATCCGCCTTTGAGAAAAACATGATTATTGATTAGCCAGTACAGAAGATCAATTTTCCCTAAACCAATCTGTTGCTGAATGACCCATGACATGCCTGTTCAACCTGTGTGAGGGTTTATATGCTCTTATATGAATCGGGGGGAAAAAGGCCAAAATTCATGGTTAGAAATGAGCAAAAAAGTTGCAGTGCCAAAATTAAATTCTCATCCAAGTAAAATCATTTTTGGCTACAGAGCATCCCAAAGTTTTAAGATTTTGTCCAAACGTTATGGCAACACTCCTATCGATTATACACCGTGACATCACTGCAGATAGAGAAGCAGAGAAAAGAAATCTAAATACTGTACCTCTCCCTGTTGAACTTGAGAGAATGCAGAATCGCAGGGATTTTTTGCCTCAGGTTCCACAGGTGGATGCTGTCATCAGCTAAGGCACTCACCAGCGCCCCCTGTGGCCAGGGTCAGAAACACAGGGTTTTATATACAGTTTGATATGTGCTGTTCTACATGTTTGTATCATGAGGTCACAACTGTAAAGGTAATAAAGAACATACGGGTTACAAAGCTGGCATAACTGTTTAATCAATGTGTTCACACAAGCATAAGCACCAGTGCCTGTAGTACCTGCTGCTAAGAGCAGCATAGACAGATGCAGGAGACGGATGACAGAGCCGGGAGTGAAAGGTTGAGGAGGAGAAGGAGGAGAGAGAAAAATCAAAAAAAAAAAAAAAAAGGAACAGATCATGACAACGAACCTCGTTGATGAGGAACTGAAGCTGGATGACAGCAGCGCCGCTCTCATGCTGACAGTAGCACTCCACGCCTGCACGGCCGAAGCTAAAAGTCAACTCAGTTAAGGAAAAACGGACAGTTACAAAAGAATTTCATGCAAAATATGATCTAATACACTAGTCTACTGTGAGTATTATTCTTCCTCCTCCATCAACACGAACTATCCCAAGCTCCTAGTTTTTGTAACTAAATATAAGTTAGCATTTGCATTCCAAAAGAGGAACTGTGGAGAACATGAAACAAGTCAAAGTAGTGGGTTATAAATAAAATCAGTGGGCCCTGTCTGACTTATTTATTCACATGCGTCAGCAAGTATGACGGCAGCGTGATTAACTGAACTCTCCCGTCCTTCTACATTGAACAGGTGACTTCAGGTCAGAGAATCCCCGCATACTAAATCTGTCCTGTTCCAAAAACAGCCAAGTCACCAATTCAGCCAAAACCTAATGCAGGGATTCAATGACCTGTGTGTGAACTAAAAGAGGAGCCAGCATGTCTGAAGGAACACCACAGAGCTCCACAGTGGCAGCAGGCCTGAAATGTGTATCCCACAAAACCCTCCAGATACTCCCACAAACAGCACAGATACGAGGAGCATAATGAGGAGAAGCTTCTTCAAGCAGCCTTTAATCACTTTCACAGATGGATGGTGTGAGCACCGATCAAGCACACCAACAAAGGCAGAAAGAAGCGGCGTGTGATCAAATCAGAGAGAAAGAAAAAAAAAAGGTGATCTGCTTCTCATTCTTTTAATGTGATAATGCTGCTGATGATGAAAAGCTCCAAAGACAGACAGCTGTGTTCCCTATCGGAGTCCATCCTGAGCTGACACAGCACAATACAGCTGAACAGGATCAACCCAGCTGTGATCAAACAATCCCTCAGTGCCTTAAACAAACTAAGGTGGGGTTTGCAGGAGACTTTTTTTCAGGACTCGAGAGTGGGCTTTACTTCTGCACAAGGATGGGAGCAAGCAGACTTTCAGACTTTAAGCCGGCGCATCGGAGGAGCTGTTAGAAACTGAACTCGCATGACCTTTTGTGTCCACTTTTAGCTCCTGGCCCCAAAAGTTCTGTAAAACATTTGTCAGAATTATTAATCATGTCCGCGCAGGTCCACAATGGAGGAGGAAGAGTCATTAAGTCTGTTTCATAGCCGCTGGTTGTGAATACATAAACATGGAGCAGTCGTCTAAAGAGCAGAAAATGTTAACAAGAAACACTGGGGTGTAGGCTCAAAAATCAACAAGATTCACGATACCATTCTCGCACGATTTATTTTACAAAATGAGACTGTAGACAAACGATTCCTTTTTAGGGGCTTCAAACGCACTTGTCATCGTGGTTTGGCCTTTTAATGTTTTTTTTTTTTGTTCTTTAAAAAAAGGGAAGGTGATTGGAGCTTCTCATTGTGGTGTCAATTAAATGCTGCATCATGTCGGTTGTGTGCTTTTTGTGTAGTTCCCTGTCTTCTTGCAATATTTGCACACAGTTTTTGTCTTGTCTGTTATCTTCTCACCTCTCTCATTTTCCGTCTTGGGGAAGCCAAAATGCTTCAACACCTCCAATTTAAAAGACGGGGGTGCGTCCTCAATTCCAAAATCTTACTCTGCAGCTGCCAAACGCCTCTGCTCTACTCAAGACCCACCACCAACTCCTTCCTGAATAATTGCCACCCCCAATTTCTGATATTTTTCAACCAATCAGATGTATTTGATGAGAAATGTGCAGTTTAGACCTCAGCCTGTACATAAATTGGGATAAAACGAAGAAACAAAAAACATTTGAAAAGCTTTTTAAAGACTTTTTGACAAATATCAATTCCAGGCACACATGGCGACCCACTGCAAACGGCTCAGTGACCCACTTTCCAGTCCCGATCCACCAGTTGAGAACCACTGCCTTACAGCATGTAGGATTACTTCAACAAACTTATAACCGATAACACAAGGTGCTGCGGTTGCCTGTTTATTTTCTGTTTGTCATCATAAATTTTCATGTGTCTGGAGCCTGATCTGATCTGATGCAATGTAGGTTAATGGTGCTGCTGAGCCCAGTTATTTTCTAGGCTAGCAGGAAATTACTAAGACATTCATGGACTCACTTCATGTTGTTGAGTTCTTGTGCTGCCTGGGGTCTTTTGATGTTAGGGTTAAATTGGTTGGTTTGGTTCTTTTTTTTGTCAATATTGTTTGGGTTCTTATTTATATCTTTTGGGTTCTTATTTATATCTTACCCCACGGCAGAGTTTACTTAAAAGCATTAGAAACTACTACAAAGAAATATAATCAATCTTGTTGCTAATGGTCTGTTTTACTTTTGGAGGTTATATGATGGCATCAGTATCAATTTCAGTCTGTTTAATAACCGACTGAAAACTCCTCACTGGAGCTTTTACAAAGATCAAATAATAGTTCCTTTCTCAAGCTTTCGATCTTGTGATAAAATAAAAAAAAGGGTTTAACTCGCAGTACTTGCAAAAAAATAAATGATTCATTTAGATTTATATCCTAGAGTTAGAGAAACGATAGTTAGCAGAATATCTCAGAGATTTGGACTGTTGGCTGGATGAATATTTAAAATGTAACTTTTTGAATTTCATATTCTGTATTTATCCTCCAAAATTCTGTTGTTTTTTTTCCTAGAGACAGGACAGTGGATAGTCAGAAACCGGGGGAAAAGAGTGGGGAACGACATGCGGGGAAAGGAACCACAGGTGGGATTCGAACCTGCGCTGACCACTCTTGAGGAGAAAGCCTCTGTACTGTACATGGGGCACATGCACTTACAGCTATGCTACCAGCACCATAAGAAATTAGGGTGTATACTATGTCATTGAGACATACTGAATGCTACTCACACATGCACAAACAGGACCTATGGACATATTAATGGAGAGATGTCAGAGTGAGGGGGGCTGCACACAGTGGGGGGGGTTCAGTGCCTTGCTCTAGAGTTCCTCTGCACTTGAGAAGTTAATTCCAGCATCCACACCAATTTCCATACCTTGGTGCTACTGCCACCCCCAAATACAAAACATCTCACACTTCAGATCAAACGAAGTATCTAGAAAATAACCCACAGATTTAAAAATACTAAAACAGTAGTTGCAGGCCAACACTGTTTTCATCTGGACATGTTGCTCTCAAACTCTCAGAAAGATCTTCACATACATACTTAGTCATCTCCACTGAAACATCAACACTTCCTCAACTGGTGAACCACCGTGGTTCACCACAGTGTTTCAACATCAGCATGTTTACTTGCGTAGCCAGCTGATAATCATCGTGACAGGAAGTTATCTTAATCATGCTAGCTCAGAATTGGAACAAGAGAAAAATGTTTTCTGCAGACTTTAGTTCAAGCCTAAAAAAAAAAAAAAAGGAGAGGAGGCTTCAGGCTGGTTGTCTCGCAGTCTGACAGCACTTCTTCTGTGTTGGAAGGTCATCACATGCTTATTCAACTGCAACTTTTCCTCTTAAAAGTTTGAAACTTTCACTGCCACTACTGTCTTTCCAATTCAGTGTGTCAAATTATTTTTAATTGCCATTTTGTTTTGATCCACACACACACACACAAAAAAAAAACTTGCCAAAACTTAAGGGCACAGAAAGAAGAGGAGGAAGATGAGGGAGGGGGTTAGGAGTATCTACAGTTACACTGATTAAAACACTGTAGTAGAGACAGATCTTGTAAAAGCAGACATTTATTGCTTGTAGACACCTCATTGAGCTTATGTCTACTGAGCTGTGGCAGCGTTTCCAAACTCCGGGGGCAATGAGGTGGATCGATGCAGCCTGTCTTTTGATAAATGGACCTATTGCCTGAATGACAGTAATCCCATCAGCTCCACCTCGCACACGACTACATGGACGCAGTGTGTTTGTGTGTGTGTGTGTCTGTGTGTGCTCTCTGGGTGTCGCCTTGTAAACACAATGCTCTCTTAATCTGAAGAGTGGATAAAGACGAGGACAGATCCACTTGTAATGAAAATCTAAATAAAGCACACAGGGCAGGACATCACCACAAAAGGGGAACCCTGTGTTTAAACGCTAAAGGGATCAACTCTGACAAAACGCTGCAAACCAAATAACCTCAACATGACCGCACTATCACAAGCAGTGTTTAATAGCCTGGAATCCAAGGGTAATCTTTGTTGCCGTGACTCATGGAAGTGACTTGGTTAGCTGTTAAAACAAATTTCCATCCTTGAATACAAACAAAACTGACTCCCAGCTGCCCGAGGGACAACACAGCACTGTAGCAGCTTGATTGTGTGTGTGTGTGTGTGTGTGTGTGTGTGTGTGTGTGTGTGTGTGTGTTGTGCAGGTCCGGTGATGTTTACAGCACATATGAAGTGGCATCCTGGCACAGACTGGGCAGCACAGTTGATGAGGTTTGCTTCTCGGCATATGGCAGAGGAGCTGTTCATGCTACTGCAGAGATAGCGCTAATGAGCCTGGTGCTCCAGGAGAAGGAGGCTGCTGGTTGCACTGATACACACCCCAGCTAGTGTCTACCTCTGAGCCCTGCGCTGCCCTGCTGTATGGTTAGGATATTTCTTTCTTTTCTTTTTTTTTTTACATTTGTTGTGTTTGATGAGTAAAAAGCAGGTCATTTACTGCACCAGACTTTTTGAAATCTTAAGGCACCTCTTGGTGATATCATATTTTTCAAATATGATATCAGGAAATTAAGCACAGCATGTGTTGTGTGTGTGTGTGTGTGTGTGTGTGCGCGCACACAACGGAATGCAGGATGTTGTAAAATCACCGGAGTGATCCAAGCTTTACTCAACTTGTGTTGCTTTCTTCTTTTTCCTGTGCAAATAATAAAAAGGATACAGCCTCAAAGCTCCAGTCTGAGTCCCGACGGCCAAGATTTTCTGCACGGGGTCAAAAGCCATTGAGGATGGTTGATATGGGAAACCATGACGCACAGTCTGCAGGAAAGAGCAGAATTTATATTAGAGCTCCAGTCAGATAATCAATCACTTGCTACACAGTCACGCTGGCAGAACTGGAGACAAAAAATTGTAATGATCTCCCAGAACTGTAATCCATTAACTGGAAAATTAGACCTATGATCAAAGTGAGATAAAGCATTAACATGAGGGCAAATGGGGACTTAGATTTGTTTCTGCTGTCTGCCTCACACACACGTGTGCAGGCTTATTAGTAATAAATTAATTTTAACCATCACAGGCTAACACTTCTAGCCATGGAGTGCACTTCATATCCTGCATCTAGCCCCCCCCCCCATCACTGCCACCAAAATCATATCATCATCCATCTACTGTATAACTCAATTATTTCAGGTTGGAAACCTTGTCCAGCCATGCATGCGCTGTTCGTATCTTGCAGCAGCATTATGTAACAGGTAATGCCGTGGCCCCCGTAACCTGGGGACCTGACCCGTTCTGCTCCCCAGTAGCTGGTGGGCTGGCTCTCCATGATGTTTAAACATTTCACACAAGCAGAAACCTTTTCTAGCGACACCTTGCAGGCTGGATTATTCATCTAATATGCATGATTTTAAATCAAACTGAGGGTCAATGCGTGCGGACCAGCGAGGGTGGGATTAAAAAGACAGGTTCACATTTTCAAGTCTGTCTGAAAGCGATGCTCACAAACATACTCTGAAAGATGTATGTTCATCATTCCTCCATGTCTACAACAGCCCTCAAGAATGCATATTTCAATGCAACTAATGTATAAAAAAAAAAAAAACATCATTACACTTTCCCTCTCAGCACTGTCTGCATCGCACGTATCAGATCATCCCAGCCAAGTTGGCCACAACAGGTTGGGTCGGCCACATATTAATGCTATAGAAAACAGTATTTCACTAAAGAAGACAGTGTTCTATCTATCTTAGCAGATTCATATTAGTTTTAAAATCAATGTATTAAAGATGTTATTTCATTCCAGGTGACAACTTTATTGTTTTGGCTGCCAAATTGCTAATCAATGACGTAATAGCCTTCTAAACTAGAGATCCTACTGGTGTAAAGAAAGACACCCCCTGTCAGGCTCTATTGAGTATTATTTATTGTAAATGTAAATCAGCAGCCGGTGGTGGACCCTTTCATTGACACAATGTCGCAAAATTGTTCCACCAAGCATGTAGAAGTCTATTTCAAATCACAAATCAAAAACACACTGAGCTATATTGTTTTGTTATTTGTTTGTTTTTTCCCCCCACTGCAAATGGCCAGGCTGTAACTCAATCACATCCACTTGATTTTTATCATTCTCATACTGCTCATATTAGATTTAGCTGAACGTGGACTTTGTTCTCTGTGGCTGAATTATCGGAGGAATGGATCTCTTCTTCTTCTTCACTAGAAGGGAGGAGGAAGAGGTGGAGGAGGAGGAGGTGGAGGGGGTGGGGGGGGTTACATTTTACATAATTGCCATGTTTTATAAAGATGCATTGAAACATATAGAGTCTACAATTACACTCAGGGAGCTAACTTGCAGTAATTGTTATAAAAGCAGTGACTTGAGTGCGACCATTCAGTGCAGCACAAGAAGACATGGGACACACAAGCCAAGTAATTAAAGAAAATAAACCCCTTGTTGATTACTCCATATATCTCACTTGCACTTAAATATCCTCATTCCCTTATTATTATTTTGTTGTCTGTGAGTGCTGCATGCGTTTAGTTTAAGCCTCCATGCCTTGTAAAGCAAGTGCTCGCTGATGTGAATGAAAACAAACCCCCAGTGTTGGGTCACGCCACTGTCATCTGACTTGTCAGTGTGCAGAAACAGTCCGGGGGTAATATTAACCCACCTTGCAGAGCTGGAAATGCTCCGACTGGAGAGTCTCCTGGACGACGTCGTTTTCCTTGGGAGTCCCCGGCTGGGTGGTTGAGGAGGAGGAGGAAGAAGAAGCCGCTGTCAAGCCGTCCAACACCTTCCTAATGTAAAACTTCTTCATTTTCCCCCCCGGGTTAACAGACGCGACGGTAGAAATACAGATCGAGCGAGCTTACCATAAATTGGCCACAGAGAGAGAGAGAGAGAGAGAGGAGGGGTGGGGGGGGAAGCCGCTAGCTAGTTAGCCGAAATAACGCACAGTTAATATCTTTCTGTACACATCTCACATGTTACTGAGGGTGTTGCCAAGCGCACTCTCCAAAAAAAGGAACCCGAGTCTCGTACATTTGAATTAGCGAGTCTTTTTTTTCCTTCCGATATCGGTGTTAAATCCGCCCATTGACGTGGAACAAGCTTTAATGTTATTTCGCTCGGGATCAGTCGTTTCCGTGAGCTGTTTCCCCCGGCCAGGGCTCAGCGGGTAGCAAACCGTGCTACGGAAACGCAGTGAACTGCAGCGGAGATTGAGTCTGCGCAGTGCGGGTCACCCGGATGCTGGGGGGCTGGTGTAGTGCTGAATATTGTGCACCGTCAAATTCTGTGACAACGTTGATCGATTGGTTGATTCAATTTGTTTCAGACATATCAAATAAAAGCAAACATATCAAACACACACAAAAAAAATGAAAAGCACGAAAATACAATAAACAAAAAACAATGTTCAAATTATTTCACAAAAAAAAGAAAAGGAAAATTACATACATTCAATTGATATGCCTGAAAAGGAGTAGGAAGAAGTATAAAACTTATTAAATCCTACCCCTTTTCCACAGCTCAATAATTAATATTTATTAAATTAAATTCCTGTGTTCCTTATAAGCTATATATATACAATCTATCTATATACGTTAAGAATGTATTAAAAAAAACTATTCTTCTTGTACTTCTTCTTGGGTTTTTGTTTTCTCATTTTGTTTTCTTTTTTTGTGATTCTTCATCATGATTATTATAATAATAATAATTATTATTATTATTATTATTACAACATTTGGAAAGCTTTACATGCCACACATTTCTGGTGTGATGACATTTTCAGATGCTTTTTAAAGGAGGTGATTGAAAATAAGTTTGTTTTGAGGCCCCCTGGTGGCTGAGGAGCAGCCTTATGGTTTAGGCCGAGAAATAAAAAGGAGCTCTTTAGTGACATATACAATCCTTTAAGTCTATAATATACCAAATACTTACATACAGTGGCATAAAGACCAACATGACAAAGATTTTATTTGGAAGACGCATCAAAGCATTTTCCTCTTGCATCATCCTTTACTGAAAATATTTCCCTCAGTAATGTGATAGCAGGGTAGTTCTTTTGTTATCTGTTAAGTTCCCAGGATCTAGTCTATTGTGTGTGCTTGGAAAATAGGCCGTGTTTCCGCTTTCCTCTGGTTCCCAAAGGAGGAAAAATTAGGTTAATTGATCTCCACAGAGAATTTGAAAAACCAGAAAAATTGGTTGGAAGAAAACCAGAAAATCTAAGTTAAAAGATCACCTTTGTGTGCTTTCATTTTGGATTCCCATTATTTTTATTACACTACATTTCTCTGCTTTATTTGGAATTTTAATTGAATAATTTAGATTTTCAGGAATTAAGAAGTGTACCATAAATAATACATCTGACACACACATAAGTATTAAGAAGAAGGTAGTAGGACTGTTGGTTGATTCCAACAGTAAAGCACATGTTATTTAGTTTGAAACACATTATTTACTCTGCAAGGACGTTGGAACCTTATAGATTAAAGATCTAGAGAGACACACAGTGAAGAACAAAGATTTTTTTTAGATGAGTAAATGGTTAAAATAGCTATTTTTCTATTTTTCTGAGTGTTTGTTTTGAATGTCCTGCGTCACTCTAGTTTTTATTTTATTTCACTGTTGTATTTCTAAATCCCTCAATGTTGTACCGATAAGGTCAACAGTATGTCAAGTTTCATTACACAGCTGCATGTATGCAATATAGATCTTATGTTTTAATTTTTACAATTTTATTTGAATACTTTTATGTAGGCAATGTACAATGTATGTATTTATATAGCACAATTCAGCAACAAGGCAATTCAAATGATATCAAACGCATCAAGACAGAGGGAAAAAGTGAGAAGTTTGTCTTTGTCTATGGTCAAACAAACCATTAACAATCGCAGAGAAGATTCAATGTTTCTTATTTAGTCTTGTACATATTAGTCTTTGCTTATTCGTGCTTATTGTTGAAATGTAATGTTATACTTGTACATAAGAGAGCACAGTTCACCAAAGTTAAATTCCATGTGTGTGTAAGCATACCTGGCCAATAAAGCTGATTCTGAAATATGAGATAATACTAAATAAACTACTGACTTACAAACTACAAATGGCTAATAAAGGATTCAATATTCATAATAAGTATACATACAGTCACAGATTGCTAAACAAGATGTCTTCTTTGACATAAATTCCTGTATTTCTAATATGACTTTATGTAGAAACGCCACAAAGCTTTACCCTTGCACATGCATAGCTTGCACACTAGATGGCGGACTCTGCCAACATTCTTTCTGCAATCTGGGTTCCTATTGTAGGGGGCTCCTCTTAAAGCCAAAATCCAGGACCATGGACAGCAACATATGGATTCCTTGCCCATGATTGGTTGCTTTTATGGTACAGGATATGGCCTATTTTCAATAGTCGGGTTCATTCACCTCGTGGCGGCATGTTTTGCACACACTCAGTATTTTCCATTTTCACGCTAGAGAAAGCTGGGACATCAAAGAATAAATGAAACATTCAGATTATTTGTGTGATAAAATAACAGTCTGGTATCTCTGTCTGCCTCCCACAAACAGTTAATACTTTACTGACAACATCCAATAAAAAATGGGTCACTCAGGGCACAATAGGAGTGTGATAAAAAAGCATAGCAAGAGATGTACACTGCTTCACTCCTCTTCAACCTATTCATAAGTTGGAGGAAGTTGAAATTTTCATGCAATCATGAATATATGAAAGAAGCTGCCAAGTGAAAATGCACACTGGAGGGCAGATAAAATAGGGCAATATCAATAATGCACAAGTGATGGGATCTGTTGAAGAGAGTGGGGCTTCCATTCAGACCGTCATATTTATAAACAACAAGTCAAAAGGCAGAGCTTTTGTGTCCGATGTGAACAAAGTATCGGGACTATGCTTCCCTGTTTGACTCCTGAATCTAGGTCTCGCCTATCTGGGACATAAATCCATAATTAGCAGTTGTGTCTTTCTTTTTCCTCGCTTTCCCTCAGGCACAGTTGAGGTAAACTGCCGTCCTGGCTCGTATTTCATAACTCACTTGTTCAGCAAAATGTATAAAAGCTGGTGTTACAAAGCAGTAAGGGGTTTCACACATAGACTTGTCCAAGTTTCAATTAAAACCTGACGTACACCGATGGGGCCTGAATTTGGACAAAGCTTCTGTGTGTTAGGTATCAGGCGGCAGGATGTAGAACAGTTCCCAAGATGCACAGCAAGGACACTGAAAAGTAAAACTACAGGACAGCAAAGGACAGATAGGTGTGCAAAAATAACCTGTTTCATTTACAACACGTCAGTGAGCACAAAGGGCGACCAGGTTTCACTTTGCTCACATATCGATAAGGCACTACATTGAAGTAGATCATTTGAATTGGAATAAATCAAGAGTATTATTTCTATTAAAATCATCCAGTTCTTAAAATAGTGAACAAAAAGGTAGCTTGAAATATTTACTACTAGATATATATTTATAAGTAGATATATTTTATAGTGCAAATATATTGGAATTAAATCGGTTTTAAATGCTTACTCAATTACAAGAATAATCAAAAATATTTGGCCAACACAGTACAGCATTTTAATAACTAGAACACATAAACATGTCAGGACAACAAAAATAACAGAAACTCAAAGAAAAGATCTCAAAGGGCACACGTGTCACAGACTTATGTAAAACAGAATGAAGTGGAGAGTGTCGACAACATGAGGATGGATCTCAAATGAAGTGAATTCACATTTCTACATTTTAAAGCACCAGAGAAATATCCACACGATAAAGCTCTCCAATTAAGGTTACGTTATTTTCGCTCCTGTAAACTTGTCTTGAAAAAAGCTCTTTAGAAGAAATGTTTATGTTTCCAAGAAATGTTTCCGAGTGTGCTTCAGTGACATTTTGAGGGACAGGTATTGTACTTATTATTGCTAAATTGTGTTTTTTTTCTGCTTCAGAGTCACACATTATTACTTTTCTTATCTGCATTTATCAGTAGTTACAATAAAGTGCTTAAATAAAACTTATTAGTTTATTTGCTGATATTATTGATAATTTTAGGAATGATGTTGGAGATCTGACAATAGGTTTGTGTTATCTGTTGTGGCTTTGTTGCCATATGTATTTCTCTCTGTCTGTCTGTCTGTTTGTTTGTTTGGTCATATTCATGTCTCTCTTCCTCAATCACACTTTCTCAACCCAACCTGTCAGAGCAGACGGCTGTTCACCACCAGGCCGGTGCTGCTTGAGTTTTCTGACTGTTAAGAGGAAGTTTTTGCTTGCCACCTCTACTAAGCGCCTTACTGCTGCCAAGGGCTTTGCTCATGGTGGATTAATGTTGGATCTCTGCAAATAATATGACAAAGAGTACGGTCTAGACCTGCTCTTTTTTGGAAAAAGTCTTTAGGTAACATTTGCTATGCACTGGCGCTATACAAATAAATATGGATTGACTTGATTGATTGTTAAAAGTATGTTTTTACTTGCCACTGTTACAAAGAACTTTTTAATGGGGGATTTATGTCTTTCATATCAAAGAATACAGTCTGGGCCTTGTGTTTTTGTAAAGTGTTATCTAACCTTTCTTATAATTTAGTGCTATATAAATACATATTGATTGATTGCTTGAAGCTGCAGAACTGATACAGAAATACATCCGTAAACATCCTTTTAGATACTTATGGTCCATCACTGATTAGAGGCAGCATAGGGAGTCTACTCCCTGCAGCTCAGCACACTCCGTCCTCTCTGGGTGGTGTGTGTCAGTCGCAGTGTGGCGCATTTTCACATATTCTCTCCCTCCACCAAAATCAGGTCATGCTGATAGCTTTTTCTCTGCTATTGGCCATATCAAGGCGGAGCGGCGATGCTTATGCATGGGTCTCAGCTCATCTCACTGTGAAGTGATTAACAGATAATTATATGCATGGGTTGCATAACACACAAGTAACACTCAGATTGAATTTGTTGTCTTTTAATGGGGAGTATCTAACAGATTTTATTCCGGATTTTTACCAACATTTTGTCCCTTTCTCTTTCTGTTTGTGTGTAGCTGAGAGAATGGCAGTGCTTAGTGTCTTATAGTGTTTGGCCTTATTACAGTAGGTCAAACACAAGCAAGTCTTGGTGTCGGGTAGTCACAGACTCTCTCCCAGCAGGATGTGTATCGTGCTGATTGCTTTATTAGCCTGACAGTGTCAGTGGATTATCAGATAAACGTGTTTATGAGGCAGCCCACACTGTCTACACCTTATTGTGTAACATAACAAGGCGAAAATATGAAACTGTCTATCTACTGTTGTGTGTCTCTTTGAATCAGAGCCATGGTCTTCAGCAGCACGGTGTCCGGCTCTTACTCTCCTCACGAGGTAGATTCAGTTTGACCAAGCCCCCATCGTCCTCTTCATTAGACAGGCCAACATCGCACCGCATCATTTGTTTGACAAGGACGGCAAATGCCTCATCAATATTTACATTTTCCTATAGATGGTGCAGAGGGGAGATGTGATTTAAGTCATTGTGTATGCATCTGTTGAGTTAAGTGTTTGGCTAGGTGCTAAAGCTTGCAAGTTGTTCCTGCTTTCCTGCTTGTTAATATTTGAAGATGTTTTATGAGCAGGTTGTATGGCTTTAGTGTTAAAGTTATCTATTACAGCATAAAATCCCTTGTGAAGTTTTACAGTGAACTACATGACCTACTGGTGAGTTTACAGATACAGAGTTAAGTTTCAGAAATGCAAACAAAGAACTACTATCTATAAAAGTATTATCCAAGCTTAAAATAACATAAATAGGCCAATAAGTAAATCAACCAGCCAGTCACATGTTTGTGTATAATAAAGAAAAGAGTATGAGAGTCCTTCTACTTTAAAAATAGGCACACATAAGATAATGAATACCTTGCACCTGCTGAAGGTAGAATAACACGTTTGCTGATATTTCAATCACAAGTTATGGGAATACGTTAAAATCGTTCCGTAACACACACCTTTGCAGAAGTCTTAAACCAGCACGTGAAGCTGTTGTCAATACAGAAGCCGTCCAGAGAGCCCGCCACATCGCTGTCGTTTCCTGTCAGGTCACATTTGTTGGCCACAAGGACAGCAGGCACCGGACGTCCGCTTTCCAGACACACTTTGCTATCTAGGTCCTGTTTCCATTTTGAGGCAGCCTCCAAGGTGGAGCTGTTTCTTATGTCAAAAACAACAAGTGCTCCCATGGCACCTTTGTAGTACACTCTGGACATCTTCTTGAACCACTCCTGACCTTAGAGAACAGAACAGAAATGTGTAATCTTCACCTCAAAACAGCTTGTGCTCAAACCTGAAGCATAAATTGATATATGACAAAATACAGTTCTTGGATTTGAACTAAAGTCATGGTTTTATGTGAGACAGGTTCCTTAGGTCGGTATGTAATTATGTGCTTTCATTGGGGGAATTAAACATTTTACTGTGGAAATCAGTTTATAGCCGTCATTTGCACTGAGCTAGCACTTGAAGAGCTTTAAAATCCCCCCCACTGTTTCATTCATGTGACCAGATTTTTAACATAACTGGTAAGAAAAAATAAGTTTCACTCGTGTATTTTCTGTCTCTTTAGTAGGCCTACAGTGAGTATATGTATTGGTTATAGTTTGTCTGTAGTTTTGTTATAGCCGAGGGAAATGTTCATACCCACTTTGCCAGCATTCCTTCTCTATTTAATATACCTTTGCATTTCCCGAATCATGTTACTATCTTGCTAGCTAGCTAAATTTTTAGCCTCATTTAATGGACAGTCAGGTTAATTAAGCGCCTAGTTACTGTTCTCTAGCAGCATCTCACTCATGACTTACCACAACTTAACTTTTACACTTGACATGTTCACATGCTAACACGTTTCATTTAAAGGCAACATATATTCAACAACCAGTCGAAGCCAATTTTAAAGAGCTGCCAATTTTGGTGAACACTGTAAGCTAGCAAACTTGAGGCCCCAAAACATTGTTAAGAAGTTTAGCGCTACAGGGTCACATATTAGACTACAGTTAAACTAGCTTTCATCTGATGTAGTGAGATTTGTTTAAGTGCTGTTACTGTAGTTTTTCAGGTTTTTTGTTGTTGAGGTTGTAATAACTGCAGATTTCACAACATTGTATTAAATATCTATGGCACATGATTTTTATAAGTTTTGACGCATGCTACAGAGTCATGTGTCTTTCTGGCTCTGAAGGGCAAAGCACAGACAGAATCACAACGTTTACACTCACCTGCAATATCCCAAAGCTGCAGTCTCACCACTGTATTGCAATCCCATTCGATTGTTTTCAGAGAAAAGTCAACTCCTATGGAGGATTTGTATCTCTCATCAAAGCGTTTGCTAGCGTAACGCAAGATAATACTGCTCTTTCCAACATCTGTATCCCCTATGACTAAAACTTTAAACAGCTTGTCTTTATGCAATGTCGAAGAGCTCCCTGCCATGATGAGGCACAGGTATGGTCTTTATCCTGAACAATGACTCAAATAGATCTTCTACAAGTCAAGCAAAAAGTGTTGGTCTGTAAATATGTTGCTTTTTGATTATCTTCAGGTTTATGAGTGCTTACCTTACCTCTTACCTCATAAATCTTTGACCTTTGGTTCTAAAAAACCTTTTGGAATTGACCAAGTTAATTCAAAGTCTCTTAATGTTTCACCATGCAGGAAAAACAGGACACAAACACATAGAAAACTTACTTTACTCCAGTTAAACAAGTGTCCTGTTAAATGTTCTACAGTTAAGATTTGTTTAAATGGCAGACTTTATTAATACTGCGTATATCTCAGGTTGCAAATACCTTATTCAAGTTGTTCTTTTAACGGTAACATTAGCACTTCACATTATACAGTTTTGATAGGCTCTTAAAGTCTTAATATTCAGGAAATTGATTGGCGTACACAACCCATCGCACAATGGAAGCATAAACAGCAAATGAGTTTATACTGTAATGCATAAAGATAACATCTTAATACCAAAATATGACACACAATTCATACATTCACAAAACATATGTATGTCATTTCTTATACATAAATCTATACAATTATGAAATCAGATGTATTAATATAAAAGATACAAACTTGAAACTACTCTAAATGGCATTTCAAGACCATAAAAATTAGATAAACATACAAAACAACAAAGAATTTGATGAAAATGTGGCACTTGTCTGCTGCTACATTCGTGATACAGTCAATGCGTTGCCTGGCAGTACTGTATCTATCAAAAAAATCACGGATAATTTATTCTTTTATCAAGTTTAACATTTTGGGAATATAGTTATTTACTTTGTAACCAAAGTTAAGGTGAAAAAATTACCCCAATCTTACGTCTATACCCTGATATTGAAGCTAACGCCAGTAAGTGGTTAGCTTAGCAAAACAAGTTTAAACTGGGGGAACAGCTCACCTACATATCTAAATATCACACTGTCACCCGATCAGCACATTTGAAAGTCACAAGTAACCACTTTATATGTTTTTGTTTAAATCCATACAAAAACCAAAGTGAAAAAATGACTGATGTAGCAGTGTATGTGAAAACGACGCTTTTGTGCAGAGTACTGCTGTTTTCCCCTGTCTAGTCTTTTTTTGCTAAACTAAGCTAATAGCTGTTAGCTGCTGCTTTGTTCTTAGCAGACAGATCGTACAATGATATAAATGCTTTCTCATCAACTTACATTTCAGAAAGCAAATGCTTATATTTTCCAAAATATCAAACGCAAGTTCCCTTCGTTTCCTGGTATACAAAACACACACATATTGTAAAATATTGTTTACAAATTGCAACATTTTACATTACACACAAATGATATTCATCCTAAACGTTTCCTGTTTAGAATCAGTAAAGTCATCAGCTTGTTTTGTTGCCTATTTTTCCCTATGAATCTATTCATAATAATAAATGTACATACAGATAATCTTAGTTGTTTGTCGTATAAGCACAAAATCTAGTTTCTCTTAAAAGCTTATGTTAGCATACGTTTGTAAGACAAATCCTCATATTGTAGACAACATCGAAAATAATTTTAAAATATGGCGCCTTGTTGTTCACCCTTATCATGTAAAAGCTATCAATTACAGAGTGAAAAAGGACCTGTCAGTCCACAGACTGACTCTTTCCTTATCATCATGTACAACACAAGTCATTATGAACTTCTGGATATATTACAACAGGTTATGATTGGCGAATACACTCATAGAGTTGAGGAGCTTTGCTTTAGGTCTCTGAGGATGACAGAGGCGTATGTCACATTTGGAGGACTGCACAAAATCGACTCAGACACAGGCGAGTTGGGAAAAGGGCTCATCGGAGGAGCAGCGCAATCTCGAAAAGGAGAGGGAGGCATCAGAGCCAGAGAGTCATCCATGGCTAATTTGACCTCAACAAAATCCTCCTCGTCATGAATCTCAGCGTTGTTGTACATGTAGCCGTGAAGAAGGCCAAAGTGCTCATTCTCCATCTCCTCCTCGTCCTCTAGAGGGGAGTTGGGCTCCTCATCGAACGGGTCGAGGTGCAAAGGCAGGACTGGTTCCTGCTGGATGAGGTGGGCCTGGTGGTACACAGGCATGCCACCACTAACAGCTTCGGGCATGCTTATCAAATCATTAAACTCAGGGAAGTCCCTGTTGAATTTACCAACCAGCCTCTCCTCCTGCAGGTGGTCCATGATGTTGTGTTGGGAGATAATGCTCAGTGGCCGTAAATGCTCAGGGGTATACAGCTCAATCTCATTTCCCTGGTCTTTTATCAGCCCACAGTGGGGAATCTGCCCGTGTGCCATCATGGGGGGAGTGACGGGGGGATTGTAATTGTATCTGACGGGATCGCCCTCGTCCTCCTCTGCCACATTGTATAAAGTCTTGGTGCTAAGGTCTGAGAACTCCAGGCCTCTGTTTTGGTAGGTATTAGTTAAGGGTTTGATGACAGCCATCTGATTGGAACCTGCTTCCTGTCTCTTCACATGCACTGACAGTCTGTGCCATGTGTGATCCCCTTTTGGAGGATGTCTTGCACCTGGTTCAGACCATGACACAGACTTTCCATTAGAACTATGAACAAAATAAAGACGGCTGTTACTGCACAGGAACCCAGAAAAAGGAGACACAAATAGCATCTGTGGTTCACGTAAGCAAAAACTAATTATTCAAATATATATTTATATTCATCATCATATCATACATAATGTTCCAGGGTATCTGCAGTTCTATAAAAATTCGACCCACCCACCTCCACTAAAGTCAGTTTACTGAAGACAAAAATGGCCTAAGTTGAAATTAAGGGCCTGTGACCTCTAATAGCATTATTTGCGATGGTAGTATCTTTTTTTTAAATTACTGCAGTACAGTGTTTTCAGCATACTAAGTGCAAAAAATGCCCTAGGTGTCAGCTGTTTTTTGTCGTAAACTCACAGCGCTCAAAATACTTCAAATTTTGGAATATCACCTCACTTGTCAATATCAGTTCTCTCACCCACCAATCAAAATCAAATATGGGTGGAACTTCTGAGACCAATGATGAAGGAGAAACTAAAGGCCTGTACACCCAGTATTGTTTTGTTCTTGGTTGCCATTTCCAGATCTAGAGCTTCTGCCTATTCCAGTACACAATACTTGACATTGTTTTTATGTTTTCTTTGTAATAATATCCTTGAATAAAAGGAGGTGGAGGTGCTGTGAGAAGACTTGCATAATCTAGCGACAGTCAGCGCTCGCCACAAGCGCTCTGAATGTGAGATCATGGGGGCTGCCAGTGCAAAAAACGGTGTTAGGGGACACAATCCTTAAAATAGCTTTAAATTCAATTTACAAAAAAAATATCATTCCTTTTTGCCGACCAGAGCCTTTCATCCTAAAATGGTTTTGTAAAATGTGTGATGTAACAGGGAGAATGTTGCAAGAACCAGTAGACTTATTACAATTAGTAGCACTGTTACTGGTTAAAACAGAGGCTCCATCAGTCCATAATGTCATAAATCATTTTAGAGAAATAATGTGAGGCCACAGTAACCCTGCTGTTATATAGCTGGTCACAAAAACGTTTTTGTTTTGTAAACTCTGCAGAAACCCTGTTTTCTCTGTTTGACATCCCACTTGTTATCCTTTAGCACACAGAGATGCTTGTTTTAATTGTATCAAAAGTTCAAAGGTTAAAATGGCTGTGTGAATTGAGCACTGACCTATATCCGTCACACTTTACAACAGGTGTCCCTTTGAAAGTGAATACAGTAAGACATCAGCTTCCCTTAGAGAGGGAATTACAGTAAAACCAGCATCCCTTAGGTGCCTCAGGAGCACGACTCACAGATTCAATTAATGAACATACCTGCCGTTTCCAGTGTTCTTCTTCCTCTTGAACATGTTGAGCAGGCTGTTGCTTCTGCAGACTATCTTGCCGTCGCCGACGTGCATTCGCACAGCATCAGATGTGGTGAAGGCGCTGCGCACATTTCGCTCCGGCTTGCAGATGATGATGTACATCTTTGGCGTGAACATACAGCCCAAAGCTACAGTCACACTGAGGCTCACAGAGAAGGACGTGGTGATGATCTTGTAGTTGCTGCCAAAGTAGATGGGCACAAACGCCAGCCAGATGATACAGGTGGTGTACATGGTGAAGGCGATGTATTTGGCTTCGTTGAAATTAGCTGGAACGTTGCGGGTCTTGAAGGCGTAGTAAGTGCAGCTCATGATTAGCAAGCCGTTGTAACCCAGAGGCGCCACAACACCAACATTGCTGGTGTTGCAGATGAGGAAGACTTCTTTGATGCTTGGGTAGGACTTAATGGGTTCAGGAGGCTCCATGATGATGAGGGTGACCTCCAAGGTGAGCTGGACACTGATCAGGATGGAGGCAATGACAACTTGAGCCCAAGCGCTCATGAACCTCGGTTTCCTGGTGCAAATCTTCTTCTTGCTTCCGGCCAGGATACGTGCGATGCGGTTGGTTTTGGTGACCAGGGCAGAGTAGCACATCGCAGCCGAGAGTCCAACAAGCAGCCTCTGGAGGTAGCAGGAGGCCACTGTGGGACGGGCGATGAGGGTGAAAGGACACAGATAGCCCAGGAAGATCCCAGCCAGGATGATGTAGCAGAGCTCCCGGCTGGAGGACTTGACCACAGGTGTGTCACGATACAAGACAAAGACTAAGGTGACAAATGACGTGACCAGGATGCCCATGCAGGAGAAAACCACTTGGATAATGGACTCTGGGTTGCTCCACTCGAGGTAGCGCAGAGGGATCGGTTCACACACTGAAAAGGATAAAAACAGGACAATATAAACACACAAGCTCAATATATTAAGAGCAGATCATACACATTTCTTCATATCAGTATGAGCATGGTGGTAACATTTGTGTTTTCTGGAGAACGAAAACTTCAACAAAACAGTTCATTTTGAGAAAAATTATACAACAACTTTCAGATTTCGAGGCCTTATTGTATGGGCACATATAAAATAAGTTAAATATGTGTAAGCCAGAGAAAATACAGTGGGTCCCAAAGTAGGTTTTTAGCTCAACTATAAATAAACCCCCCTTCTACTGAGCCATGGCCAGGCTGGGTTGTGGCCAGGGAAAGAGGGCTATGCAGCAGGACAAAGTAAATCACTGTCTTTTTCATGGATCCAAAAAACATCTCTTTCATGCCTAATGTTGAGAAAACACTTTGAACAACTAATTTAAGCAGGTTTATTTATTCATTGTTTACCAGCAGGAGGGTTGGGGTGAGAAAAACTGCACAGGAATAATTTTCATGTCATCCCAGAGCTTCACATTTTCTCGTCTTCAAGTGCAACTAAAGGTTAAAGAAAAATAAAGAAAAAAAAAGCGAAACAGCATGGAGAGAGGCAGGATGATCCTATTAAGAGAGTGTCTTGTCTTTGAACAGAACAGAAGGCCTTTGAAAGTGGGCCAGAAGAGTGGTAAGTGAAGTAGGGCTGCTGTCGGATAAAACGGTGAAGATGATGAATGGCTCTCAGGTGTCATGGGAAAGCGATGAAAATAGGACGTAGCAGGTTTATGAAATAGTGCTGCAAAATTCGTAGCAGGACAAGCTGTGCGGAGAACAGTTGGAGGGATGAGAAGAGAAAAGGCTCTGAAGAACTTAACTTTCTACAGCGCAGACAAGACCAAAAAAGTTTCCCCTTTATCTGTAAAAAGCGTCAGTCATGCAACAGGAACTCAGCCTGTGGCCAATGCAATAATCTACATTTATCTCTATTTAAGGATGAAACTTGCAGGACAACATTTTTTATTATTCATCAGAATTAAGATACCGCATTGCATTAATATGGAAGGGGATTTAAACCTGCTGTGAGGAACATCATCGCAAACACTCACATCTTAGAAAGTGTATTATCTAGTTTCATTTGGCAGACAAGTTCCAGATAAAAATCTTATTTTGAAATATGAGAAAAGGAAAAAGCAAGGCCTGAGATGATTGTTATAAGTCAAAATAAATCTGCCAATGGGGCAATCACATTATACATTATAAGTTTCTTAATGACATTACATCTCATTTTAATGTCATGTGGTTTATAAAAAATCGAATGAAAAGTTTTTGATTATCTAAGTTTTGCTGGCTGGATAAAGACATTAGGTCAAGTCTAGTTTTTTAAAAACCTATGAAAAAAAAAGCAGCAGCAGACCAAAGTGCTGTACAATGAAGAAAATAACGTAAAGAAAGGCAATTATAAACTAGACGAATAAACACACAAAAAAGACCGAAATAATACAAGAAACGCCTTTAAAGTATGTAAAGCCAACAGAGGGGGCAGTTCTGATTAAGATTAAGGTAGTATCAGTACCCTTTATACCCTCTTAGACAGTGTTTGCATTGCATTGCAGGTCAGTTTTTGTAAGTAGAGAGATTTCAACCTTACCTTCCAGTTCTTTGTCCGGCCACCAGCCCAGCTCACAGGCCTTACATGTGAACTCATCCTGGACGTACTCATTGTCCTTACAGGCAGTGCAGATCCAGCAGCAGCTCACTTCTCCCTTCCTGATCACCTGGCCAACAAAACATGCAGAGAAATGTCAAATATTTTCCACTAGGGGGCCTATACTCTGAGATTGTTTCCATCTAAAAATGAGTCAGACAAAAAAAGATTAGGGCGTCCACATCTCGCAGCTGGTCCTGGTGCAGTGATGTCATTGGCGAGTTAAGAGTAGGGCTGGGCGGGATCGAATCAGGGTGTGATTTAAAGATCAAGTCCTAAACAGTCAACTTTATGCAAGTATTCTTTTTTTGGTCCTGTAGAATTGTAGTTCTAATGTTCAAAGAACAGTAAAAAATTGTAAAGATAAAACATGGAGGTTCAGAGGCAACATGCATCATTAACAGGATAGTATCTGGAGGTTTTGTCCCACACCTTTATCTCTCCTATGGAGCAGGGCTCGCTGCAGACAGAGCGGACCATGTCACTGCGGTTCATCTGCATCATTTCATCATCCAGACTGAGGACGCCTTCATGCCAGGATCCGATGTTGATGTAGTCATAAACACCAGGCTCCACACGCTGGAAGTTCATTATCTCGTACCTGATAGTGGTTAGAAAGACAAGAGATTAAGAGTGGTTAAATCAGAGGAGCCCAAAAAATCCTTCAGAATATCTCCTACTCGAGATTGTTCAGAACCCTTAAGTCAGCTTTCTGTGTGAAAGCAACAACTCAGTGGAAAGCTCTGTGAGAATATGAAGAACTGTTATTCTATCGGCAGTTTTCAGAACCAGCTGAAAAATCTGCCAAAAGACAACACTATGCAGTATTTTTGTTATTTCAAAGTATATCTGACTCTTTTTAAATGTAATGTCTCCAAAGGCAGTCATGGCTGGCACACAGGTAGTGATGAATTTTCAACCTGCATGGATTTGTTTGTCAAAGCTAAAGGGGGGGGTGGGGGGGGGTCATCCTCAGCAGAGAACGGCAGTAGAATTGTAAAGATTTGGCAGAATCAACTAAGATGCATCCAGGTAAAGTGTTTAAATAAAGGCTCTGAATCATCTCTTCCACCACTGGTTGTGGGTCACTTACGGTAAGGGATAACATTTCTGGCAAACCAAAATATTGGACTTCACTGAATCATCAAGGATCATAGATGAAGAGTATTTTACCTCCCAGGTGAGTCCCCGTTCTCATCAAACCAAATGTCCTCTCCAGAGACCCCCCGCGAAGGATGTCTTGAGGAGAAAATCAAGCAAGTGGCTCCCATCGACAGGCAACATGTTGTCACAGAGACCCACATGGCCGGGGCAAAGGTGAGTGTGCATGTCATGCAGCCCGTGGGCCATGGCATAGATGGCGTTGATGACGAAGCCCATCTTGCTGTCTTGAACGTAGTTGTCCTCAAGACTTTCATAACCTGTCCACACACGAGAAAACAGTTAAGAATCCATTTCCAGGACTTGCTTCTTTTTTTTTTTGTTTGTTTTTAAAGATTACAGGAAAAGCCTTACAGGGGGTGCTTCATTGCTGCGAGCAGTAGCATGTTATGTGTCACACAAATATTTTCCAGCTTCGTTCTGAACAGGTGTGTCTAGCATGACTTATCATATTACAAAGGAGTGATAGGGTGCTCGCTGATATATTCTTGTAATTATTCTCTGAAAAACAGGCAGCCAGCTACACGCCTCTTTGTCTCAGCGGGAGACTGCTTTAAAAGAACTGGAAGCCTCGGAAAATGGCTTCAAAGAAACCTTGTTACCATGGCAAGACTACCCGTTTCTGCGTTTATGAGTCAGGACTCAATTAGAGTCGGTCTAGAATGCTGTGCCACTGACATTGTGTCTCCTCAAGCAGAAAAGTGGCACAACTACTCCAATGCATGTCTTCTTTTGTATTGTTTAACACGAACACGATGAGTGAATGACACAAAAGTGATTCAAACGTTAAAAGAACAGCATGTTATGTCCAAACCACACCCTATCAATTCAGTGTAATGCAAGCTAGAAGCAGAGTAAGCAGGTTTTTTAGTTGCTCCTTGAAGTAAGATGTCAGCTTAATGTCATTAAAAGGCCATGCTTTCAATCCGTTTATGTTAAACAGCAGACCAGGTACGTGCGTCGGCAGCTCTTTCCTTTCTCATACGAAAAAAAAACAACAACACTGTTACTATGTTTATCAGCTGTAAATTACTTACCCTGTACTAACATGATGTGGTTGCTATAACTGTTATAGGCCTGGCTCACTACGTTGAAGAAGTTATCTAGAAACAAGCTGAGCCCAAACTGAAATAATCAGTCGCAGCTCATGTTAACAGCAGCTCAAATTAGCCACAATTCACATTAGCTGCAGCTCAGCTTGCAGCCCCTCCGGACATCCAAAGGAGATTGTGAGATAAACGCAGCTTTTCATGTGAAACAGCTTCATTTTTTGTTGCTAATTGGTCTTACTAATCTTTAAATGTTTTAATTTTTAAAAATCTGCCTAAAAACGTTTGATTAAAAACACTGATTGCTGACAGCTGGCCAACTTAGACCGATGTTACACTCTCCGCGCAATCATTGTTTGCTATAATTTCGTGATGATTCATCTTTACAGCCTTAAAACAGTAATTACTCGTGGCAGCTTTTATATCCCTAATGATGATGATGATGATGATGAGCCTCTTTGCTGCTTAAAACCATAACGGCACCACTCTTGTTGATGAAGACCCTTGCTTCTCTTTGTTTCTCTTTATCTCTTTCATTCTTATTCTTTCTTCCTTTCCCTAAAATTAATTCTACAAAGTATGCTGTGAGAGTCTTCACTTATTGATTTTCATACACATACTCACACTTCTTACAAAAGGATCCTGTTGGAAAAGCTTTTTTTTTTTTTTTTCACATCAACGCTCCAGGAGTTTTTATCTCAGATTCTGAAAGATTTTTTATTTTTTTTGCTAAAAGGAAATTAGAGCGATACACCATTTATCGTCCCTTTAACCTTAATCTGTCCCTTGAATCTCTTCCAAACCCCCTGTTTAATATTTTATGGCAAGCAAGTGTGAGGTGATGTATCAGCTGATTACGTATTAACTGATGGGAAGTGATACAGCTTGCCAAACTGTAACTGGATTCCCCCCTGGACGATATTATACTTTATAACATTAGGTGTTCATTGCGGCTCCAAAAAACTTAATTTATGCTGGTGTCATGCTGTAATTTATACCCAAAATGTAATTACAGTGACTGAAAGTCATATCATTACTGAGCAAGACAGCACTGTTGACCAAATATGTGTGAATCCACAGTGATCATTTCTCATTCATGTTACTGATAACTAGGCCTATCAAAAAAGTAATGGTAATTAAAGATTGTGATTTCTCTGTTTTTTTCATTCATAAAAGGTTAAGTTACACATTTTTAACATTTCTCTGTAAGGGGATGAATGTTACAAATAGTAGCATTTGATCAATCTTATAAATCTTCCTGATTTGGCAACATAGCAAAGATTAAACATTTTGAACATGAAATTAACAAAAAATATTCTCACGATGTATTTGCCTTACTTTTAGTTTAGTTAAAACCATCAGACAGTTGTATTGTATCTTCTTTTTTCCTAACGTTTTCTTTAATTTACCCATATTGTATTGAACTACCAAGGACGCCAGGTTGTTCAAAGATCATTTCATACTCAAGCAGACCATGAAGTTGTGATCTAGTCTATGTAGTCATTACAGATGATGCAGAGAGAGATGCAGATTTTGTATAATATAGAGATTCTCTATTACATCCTAAAATAACATTCATGCAGTCTTCTTATATGTCATGAACATTGTCAGATGCTCTGTAAACGACAGGATTCATCCACGCCACCTGACAACATAAAACTGCATGATACATGAGTCGGATAAGCTTAAGAGCATCATCATCCCTCACTGGTGTGTTTCTCACCATCGTGTTAACTCCAGTAATGATGGTTAAAAATGACTGCTGGGAAACTTGAGTGCCAGTTCAAACAAACAGGAATAGGGAATTCAGTCGGGTAGCAGCTGGGGGAGCGTCCGATGGGAGCTGCTGGTGATGACCTAGTTTAACAGCTCCTTGGCTTTGACGCTCGCCTCACTCACTGAGCTGTGAGAGCTTCAGACACGATGAAATGATGTCATGATGACAGCATGCAGGCAGAGGAGCGAATGCTCCATGTCGGGATTAGAAGAATACCAAACCTTCTCTGTCCAAATATAAAACTACAATTCAGGGTTTTAAATAAATGTGTATCTATTGACCATATTCACACAGCGGCCATTTTCAGCATCATGCTCGGCATAGGAAGTTCAAGAGCTGTTATAATGTCAAACTGTGGTTAATTGATTGAAAGTAATAAATTAAGGATACCTGACAAATCATTAACTTTTTCTTTAGTTGAACAATAAAAACTTGAAGGGAAATCCATATTTTAACCCTTACCAATACTTTTGGTGTACTAACAGAAAGCTAACGTTAGCATTCAATTCTTTCCTAGTTAAAATGACATCTAGCTAGAGGCTGAAACCTAATAATAGCCTTTGGTAGTGCATGACTTCACATTAGAAAGGCATAAATCCTTAGCTTAAAGTCCCATGAAATGAAAAATGCATTTTCCTCGTTTCCTGTGTTAAATGCATATTTATCTGCCAAATATATTTCAATAAGTATTACCTGAGTATTTTTACATTTAATAACTGTATTTTATCTTCCTGTAAAACATTTCAAATGTCTGATGATTCATTACCACTTTTTTGACCAATTAAAAAGCTTTTTCGAATCAAATTCATCTGAAAGTTATGCCCAGTCCTCTATCTTGTGATTCGTTCTATCATGTCTCAGTTTGAATAACATAACGATACGGCAGTAAGATACTCTTTAAATAACGTTTGCTATAGGATTAAAGAACATTTTTTTAGAATGCCAGCATTAGCTGCTGTCAAACCTAAAAGGTTATCACGTGTCTGTATGTTATTTTACTGTGATATATGGCCTCCAATTTTTTGCTATCAAGTTTCCTGACAGCCCCTCGTTAATGGAGAAGCTTTGAAATGAAAATAATCCTCAGATAGTCTCACTTATCACAACTTGAAACCGGGGACACAGCAGTACAATATAAAAGCACATGTGCTTTCCAACCCTGAGTTATCAGAGGAGGAAAATGGTCGTTGCGGGAATCTGGTGCAGAATGACTTTATATTATTTCTGTGGCTACATGCAACCTAAGCCGGACCAGCCAAGTAACCATTTCACTCAATGTTATTGGGTTGTTTTAAATTAATTGTATTAGGACCAAAAAGAGTGGGAGACACAATGGAAGAGCAGAGTTAATAGTCAGGCTCTCACTGCACTGTAAGGAACATAAAAACATCCCAATAGCTTCATATAGTAGAGGTGAACTGATATTAATAGCACATGTAGAAAAATAATAAAGCTATCAAATCATGTGATAAAGCTTTAATATCAGTCAACCTCTATGTATATAATACTTCTAAAGCATTACAGATCCATTCAGAGGGATTCACTCACCGTCTTGGAGTTCTACACCGAGAAAGTAAATATGAATAATCAAATAAAAACAATAAAAGGTGACAGGACAATAGACCATAACTCTATCTCCAACACTGATACTGTCATAATTGCTATTAAAATGAAGGAATGAATAAAGCTTGAGGTATGTGCATTTAAAAAAGAGAGGCTCTATTAAATAATATTCAAACAGAGAAAATAATAAAAAAATGTTAAAATGTTAAAATAAATGCATTAATAAGATGCAAAAGAATAAAATTACTTTAAAAACCTCAAGTGCTGTCAACTGAAATTTTTAAAATGTTGTTCACCACATGCAGAATTTTATATTTACGTTTACTTACAAAGGTTTTTTTGAAAGATTTCCAAATAGTTTACTGTAAGAAGAACTTGTTTTTTGCGGAATCTGCTGTTCTATTGATATCAGCTTTGTGAATGAGAATTGGTAACGTAAATATATGTTCTGTTAATGTATTTTCAAAAGAAAAATGTATGAGTAGTATGTAAATAAATGTTGTTTTTGAAACATGCTTTCTGAGCATTGTTTCCGGTAATTCAGTTTGTTCCTTTGCAAAAGAAAAGGATGTCATTTACCTAGATCCTCATCCTCTGTAAAGCCAAGTGTCACAGAAATAAACAATATGAAAAATAGATTATTGGACTGAGTCAGAGTAAGTCAACCCCCTTGCAGTGTAATTCATGAATAAAGAACGTGCTCCAGTTTATGTGGCCTTTTGGCTCCGTCCTCAGAGCATTGAACACATCACAACAGACATGCTGATGTGCACACCGGCAGAAAACCGTAAAGCAGAAAAACTGCAGGAAACATCATAACTGATGGCTGACAGATTGTTTAGCTACCTGAGCAGTTTCGTGCATAATTCATGTTCTCCAGCGGGTGTCCGGGAAGGCGGCACTGAAAGCGGTACTGCCAGAACTCGGGGAACCAGGGGTTACGGGTGTTGGTGCTGAGTTGGAGTTTCAGGAAGTATTCGTCGAAGGAGGAGACTTCTTTAGACTGAAGCTTGACTGTGATGCCGCCCACCGCCTCCTGCTCGTATCCCTCCACCACCTCGACCCGGTCCGCCCAGCCGTCACTGCAGAAGAGGAGACAATTGCAACTACTGGAACCAGCAACAATGTGTGCATCTCATACTATCTTCACATTCAAATCTGAGCAGAACATCTAACTCTAAAAACTCAAATTATTCATTTTCTTTTCTACATAAATTGTGATGGCCACAGCCAAACAGCGGTAATAGCTGTCTCACCTAAACTCTCACCTCATAGGTTTTCCACCAACACCTGTTAAAGAGTAATATTAAGTAGACTTCTTTTATAGGCCTAGTTCTTACAATTATGTTTGTAAATTTGGCTTTCTTTGTGTGGGTCAATTAAAAACCTACCTTTTCTATATATCTTTTCTATATGACTCCCCGTGTCACTTGCTTTGCTGACAATAATATTCATTTGCAGCATCGATGAAACTAATCTTTAACCTATTGCCCAAGATGTGGCTCTATGCTCTAATCCAAACAGAGGAAAGTTAATTTAAAGGGTTTCATGTTATATAATTCTAAGTTTAAGCATGTACATTTCAACGAGATGTCAGAAGAAAATGACCCCTTAATAATCACTTAAATCCTGAGCAAATATCCGGTTTGGGTTTTTGTTGGAATTATTTATTCTGTGGTTCAACCAGAGCTGATAATGAAAGGTTTGCTATGTGCTCTTATACCGCACAAAACAAACAAGAGCATAATTCATTTCTACAGTAGCTGCCTACACAGGAAACAAAAATGTCAACTTTGGAAAGGGGTCAGCAGTGTTTTTATCGAGCAGTGGAATGTTTTTTTTCTCCTATAGAGCTTCTCTCTTCTCTTGGCTTAGTCAGAGGTCTAAGGGTAACATTTTGGGCCGACAAACAACTGTTTAGCTCTGTGACTGCAAGGTACTGCTAATATATGTGAAGCACATGAAAGGGTTTTGCAACTCAAGGATTTCATGCTGATGTATTGGCAGAGAGGTTCAAAAAGAGGTAATCAAAATAAAAATTCTAAAAAGCCATTAAAAAGATAGAAAAAAAATGTATTGAAAGGGACAGTTAATACGACTTCTAACCCAACCCCAACTCCAACTGCTATTTATAGTCAAGTAATTAGGAATGTTTTGCTCCAGAAGCAGTCTAAAAATTGTATAACAAACAGAAGTCTGCATCCAGCAGAAGGACTTCTATTGTTTCGCGACGATGACGAAGCCGTAAATGTCTGTCACATCTGAAGCTACATGTTGCCTCACTAATGAGCCTCACACTGAATCCTGCAGAAACATTCTCCCTTTTGTTGCCCTGACTTTGTGTCTCTTTCAGCCTTCCTGCTGACGGGCGTAGATACTCGCTGTACTTGCTGAAAGAAGAAGAAGAAGAAGAAAAAAAAAAAAAACATTCATCACAAACACAAGTCCTGTGAAAATTCACAGATTAGCTCTGTTACAGTACATCTCCCAGCCTCCTCACAGACTCCGTAAGTGTGATTTTCTATCCTCACCACTCATTGTTTGTATTTATGGTTGAAATACCACTATTTAAATGTCACATTTTCATTGAATCCTCTCATCAGACATCATGCTAATGAAACAAATGCCTTTGTTTGACACTTTACTTATGACTCATGCTCCATTAAAAGCTTCTATTGAGTAGCATATGCAGCTTACTGTAGCAGTGTAAAATGCAGTGAGCGGTCAAATCTGTGATGCATACATGTAGGAGAGAACAAGTGTCACTCGCCTCAATCGGAAACAACACTCAGATCTTTATGTGCAAAATAGTACAACTTTTTATATTGCATGACAAAAAGAGCTCATAAAAAAATATATCAATACATCTGACTGTGGCTTGTTGTTTGTGTTTATGTCTTCATATTCATTAATATTACTGTGGAGGCGGCTAAATGTGTGCAGCACTTGGAGTCTAAGACAAATTTCCCTAAGGGGACAATAAAGTGTATCATATCAATATTAAAAGTCTTTGTAGCAACATGGACAGAAAAATTAATAAGTCTGTTAAACCAGAAGTGAGACATTAGTGGTGGCCAGATTACGACATTAAACTATGATTGGCTTTCTTCATGGTAAGAGGTGGGACTTAGGTTCAATCCCACTTATTGAACTTTGTTGCTACTGACTATTAGCAGCTTTTGTAGCGTTTTGTAGAAAATCTAAACAAAGGTTGGTTCAGCAGTTTGATGGAAAAAGCCTCGTCTGACAACTACCCGGGGGGAACAGCGTCCACAGTCTTTTAAATGACTGCAGGGAGCGCTGTTTTATCGCAGGTGTTAGAGCAGGTGCAGCATGTACAGAGGCTGTAGTCCTTGTCTTTTGGGTTGCAGGTTCAACTCCCTGTCCTGATGCTTTTTAGTGCACATCTTCCCACTCTCTCTCTCTCTCTCTCTCTCTCTCCACATTCCCTGTCTTGCTTCAGCTGTCTTATCAATAAAAGACAAAAAGTCCAAAAATGAATCTTGAATGAATCAATCAAAAATGAAAAAAACTACAGCAGCCAATCTTGTTGTAGATGGTCTCGTTTGCTTTTGTAGGTCACATAGAGGCATCAGTTTTTAATTTCAGTCTGTTTCATAACCAGATAAAAACAAGTTTTTCTCATGCTTTTCTGTGTGACACCAACAAACTACTGCGATTTTCTCTTCTTCCCTGCAAAGACCGACATAAATCTAGGGCAAAACAGTGAATCTTTGTATTTGAAACAGAATCATATCCCGAGAGAGGCGTTTCCACAAAATGCAGTTCATCCGCAGTACAAACATATCAGCCACCAGCCTTCAAAAAGTTCACATTTGGTGAAACGAGAGCCAATAATAGCACGTTTGGCTTGGCTGGCACTTCTAAGAATGAGCTGACAATGAATGTCCAGTGTGACAGTATCAACAACAGTACCTGGCCATCTGCTTCTCAGCATCACACGCTTCACAGTCCAACACTGTGAGCGCCAGAAACCTACAGCTCTGACGTCCACACAACACGTAAGCACTGTAGAGACTCAGGACACAATGATACCACAAAACCAGGAACCATTGCAGAGTTGAGAGTATTTATTCAGCTAATCTAAAAAAAAAATTAACCTTTCTCAAACATTGAGAGCTTCAGCTGAAGGTCAAAAAAGTGTGTTGTGCGTTGTTTGAGATGTGCGGCATCTCCATTCTCCAGTGTGGAAAGTGGATGTTTTTTTCACCCTCCACACAGCAGAAGAAGAAGAAGAAGATGGATGGCTGATGACCAGCACCTCGGGGCGCTATCATTGGCCTATAGCTCATGCCTGCATGTGTTCACTTACTGCATTGCTCTAAAAAACATTTTCCTTTTTCAGACGTCTCCTTGACCCAGAAAGAAAACACATACACACACACGCACATAGACACACACTCTTTATCTTCCGCTGAGACTTAAGCAACAGAGCAAATTCAAGTGGAAGGGGTGAGTGCAAGTTTAGACTTTAAAACATTCCTTTTTCAATGCATGCTATTCATCACGCTGGTTGGAAAAAAAGGATTCGACTCCTTCTCATCAGCCTTTGTGAATAAAGCTGCCTCACATTAATAAACCACTCTGTGTAAATCAACCATAGCCAGCTTTGATAGCAGCCTGGTTTCAGGTGCTGCTAACAGGACTGGAGGTGAGCTGAGACTCCACTCCAAAGAGGGAATGTCTGCTTTAAGTGCTGATACAAGCTTTGATGTTCACTACTCCACGCTCCTCGGCTTATGCTGGAGGTGCTGTCCCACATTAGCCCATCCTGTCTGTGATCTGACAGCAAGAGGGAGAGCTCGCTGCGAGGATGCATTATTCATTACTGAGCCTCACTCAAAGCCGCTTCTGCTTTCAGAGCTTCTCTCCTCCCAGAAGGAAAAAAAAAAGAAGAAAAGATTTCAATTCCATTTGAACTTTTTATAAACCATACATCCCGCATGTAGCTGAATATAAAGTGTGATTCATATTGCCATTTTTATCACATGACCATGCTGTAATTTTCCTTGGAATTGTACAATTTACTGAGCTCATTTCATTTTTTTAAACTCTATAGGGGGTGACTTAAAAAAAGACAACACATCTTTTTGATTATATTAAAGCTAAGAATCATATATATATTGTATATTTGCATACCTTGGGGCGTGGTTTGTATTGACTGACAGGTGGGAACATATCTCAATGAAAATAAACAACATTTATGTATAACTAAAGAATACGGTCAAAAGCTGCAGAACAACTTTTAACAAGCCTTGTTGTAAGATTAATTTTTCCACCTTTGTTTCCAAAGTCTAAACTAAACTTTCAACATAAACTTCAGAACTACTGTGAAGGAGACGTCTTTAAAGCGCTGATACAAATTTAAATTCACAGCCTCACCTGCTGTGGAACATCGTTTTATGTAATTGAAAGCTTGTGAAACAGCCTGGCGCATTTGAAGACTGAGAGATTGTCTGGCCAGAAACATTTATCTTCATTATCACCACAGAGGTCATCAATTAATGTGGCACAATTAAATGAATTTATGAGACAGATGGGACAACTTTGAGTTCTACCAGCGCTATTCAATTATATTGTACAAATGATGTCTTCAGAAAAGCTACTTACTTAATTTTCCAAGGTCAAAAATGAACTTTAAATTCAGTCTTTGAAGGCCACATGGAGAACTGACCACAAAGTCAATCTGCTGAGGAAGATTCAATTAGATTATCTGGCCAGCGTCGTTTATTTTCATTATGACAGATTCAATTCTGCAAAAAAAAAAGGGAATATTCTTATAATAAAACGCAATAGATTTCATGAATGAAAGCTATACAAAAGCTGCTTAAGGCCTTAAAAGTTAAAATACATTGAATCAGTTTTTAAATAACATGGAAATGAAATACAATCATCTTCATCTGATATGTCAGAGGTTATCTGCTGAGGAAGATTATGAGATGTGAAAGCATCAAAACGGGGGTGCCAGCTTACTAGTGTTCAGTTAAAGAGGACCCCTTTCTACCTTTTTAAACAGTCTCCTGTGGTCTAAATGAAACATCTGTGCTGTGGTCAAAATATAACATGAATCAAGCACCAGAGGAGGTTTGTGACCCTGTGTAAACCAGCTCTCTCAGAACACTCCGTTTTGGTGTGTATGTCTCTTTAAATGCAATGAGCCCCCCCCGAGTTTTCCCAGTAGACGTCCCTACTCTGCAGCGAGAATAAAAATGGCAGACTGCCACAAAAAGTTTTGTTCTAGATTTGAGGTGGAGTCCATGGGTGGAGATATCAGGGGAGGGGATTGTATTTTTCTCTATGTTGTAAGACTTATGCAGACCTCATAATGTGTCCCCTTTAATGCACCCCATGTATAGAGGCTGTAGTCCTTAAAGAAGGTGGCGCAGGTTTGAATCCGACCTGTGGCTCCTTTCCTGCAAGTCATTCCCTACACTCTCACTCTCTCTCTCTCTCTCTCTCTCTCTCTCTCTCTCTCTCTCTCCCTCTCAGATAGCTTTTATAAAGTTAGTGCTTCAATTGAGATTATTTTTTGTGTTTCTATTACTGAGGTGACATGTTAGCTGTGTTTCAGAAAACGTTGGCTAAAAGCAGCAAAGGAAAAAAAAAACTTTTTTTTTTCAGGGAAACAATCACTTACAACACTAAAACAGATTCTTAGTGATACCAGGAGAGTTTGCATAATAACCTAAGAGAAGCTTCTTTTTTATTATGGAATTCAACATCTGAATCTCCATCATGATGGCGATGATTTGATGTGTCTTTTGGAAATATTAAACGTGTGTCCTTGTCTGTCATTTGGTAAATGAAAGCTCCACAATGGGTACTTAATACCAAAGCTGTCTTCTTTTTGAAAGATTGAACATTTCATTTGGAGTTTGAAGCCGAGAAAGACAAAACTATTTAATTTGAACATCCATGAATTCATAACACTGGTTCAGATTGAATTTGGGATTTAGAGAATAATATCTTCATGACTGACAGAAATATCTAGTTGGTGAAAATAGGGCAAATAATATGAGTAATTTATTTGTTTCTCGTTTTAACTTGAGTTAATGTGATCACATAAAAAAAAATAAACAATAAAAAAAGGGTAAGAGATTCTTTTCATCATTGTTGTGAGAAAGCTTGTCTGCTTATCATCCAACAAAAGAAGAAAACCCAGACAGACCAAACTAAAGCTCCCGTGGGAAAACACTCTGTAACAAACCTGCCAATTAGGAGAAACTCTTCTGCTACTCCCAGCCGTCTCATGGCCATGAGCAGCCCTCGGACCGTCATCCCCTCACAGAAACACACCACCACTCGGGCTTTAGGCAGACGTTCGCGCAGCTTCCTCAGCAGCCTGTCAAAGTGCCTCTCGCCTGCGTTGCTGTAGATCTTGTCAGAGTGGGCGACGCAGAGGCCTTCCTGCGCGGCGAGCTCTTTGAACACCTCCATCCCGCTCTCCCCGTAGTTACCTAAGGAGAAAGAGCCGAGTGGCCGTTAGGGGAGGAGGATAATGATGGACCTCACAAGGAGGACAAGAGAGAATCAATGGATCTGGATTCACTCCAGCTTTGCCCTTTATTTGGAATTCCACATTAAATGTTCTGTTTTCTTCGCCTAGTATTATTCAGGGACGCTTTGCTGAGAGCACACACCTCTCCCTTTAGCATTTACTAAGCGTCCCTTTATGTACCCAGATTTCTTTTTATAGAGCCACGATCAGAGCAAGCAGAGCAAACAGGGTAAAGGTGACCTCAACAGCTGTTTGGTAGGACAAAAGGAGCACATTTATGTTTCAGCATCAATTACAGGTAAGACATTATTTTTAAAAGAGTCCTAGTTAAGGATTCAAATCGAGATTTGGTGAAATTTGGATCATATTACAAGAAAGTTGCCCCAAATTTCCTCTTGAAAATACAAAAGAATTACAGGTATGCACTGTCATGGTCTCAGCTGTGCCTCTTCTTCCTGTCACAAGTTTTTTTCCCTTTCCTTGTCCGTGTTGTAAAGCTTTTCGTCTCACTCTCTGTCTGTGTGCGTGCGTGCGTGTTTGAGTGTGTGTGTGTGTGTGTGTGTGTGTGTGTGTGTGTGTGTGTGTGTTCGTGTGTGTGTGTGTGTGTCTGGGCTTGGCACTCACTTACTCTCCTGCTGCAAATCCACCAGCACACCTGGGACCGTCCACTCATTAAGCTCCTGCAGTATAAATTCCCCGGCTCTACATGCCAGTCTTCAGTTGACCTGTGTGGCATTGTTAGGGCTCAAAGGAGTACTAGAATATTCTAATCAAGTAAAAGTAAAGTTGCTTTGATTGGATGTTACTCATGCAGGCCAAAATGTAAAATTACCACTCTGTGAATCTTTTTAGGCAAGAGTAAAAATACTTCATTTGAAATTCACTTGAAAAACTGAGAACATGTTACCTAAAGGAGGGGGGGGGGTGGAAGGTGTAGCAAAAGATATGATCTCTCCTTACTGTGTCATACAAAACAGACAAAAGGGTATGAACATAAAAAAAATACATCAAACACTCCCAACAGCTCCACCTATTGTCAACCTGTCCAGAGGGGAGGTATACTACGCAGCAGGATTTTCAGTTATCGAGGTAACTTCAGCACTACAGATGTGGCTCACTTCTTACCAAGGTAGATCGCCATGGTTACTTATGCTGAACACCTAACCTGCACTGGAGCAGGTTATGCACGGGATAAGAGCTCATCCTGTGAAAATCTCTTCATGTAACTATATGAATGAAACTTGTTATTTGTTCTGAACTGACATCATCCTTCAACAGAGACTCAAAATGCACCTCGGCCATGTAGTTGTGGTTATAGGATGTAAATGCACCACTACTCATCGCCTTGAATCTCATATTCATTTTTATTTGCTCCATACCGCTCTGTTTGTTGCCGCTGATATATACCGTCTACATAGAAACTCTCTTATCAGGTTGTGAACCGGCTTGGTGTGAGTGCTTATGGAAAACTCTCTGGAGATCAACTACTTCTCAAGCTCTTGTTGCAACAGAAGCTTTAACCTACTGGAACAACCAATCAAACACAAGCTGTCAAAACAAGGGAAGCGAAGAAGAGAGATTTAAAAAAGAGGATATCAAAGAATGTTTGTGTCTTGGCTGTATGTTGATGCATAAAAACAATCCTCACATTCTCTATAAAAACTAGACCTCACAAATGAGCACAGTAAGCTCGGTGTCCTCCTCTGACATGCCCTCTGTTTATATACCAACATCATGTAGATGAGCCTCACATACAAATACACAACTGTCTGCAGCCCCCTGCTGTTAGAGCAAGAGTCTAAATGTCACTCACAAGAGGAAACACCAGTTACAATAACACAGCTAAACGCAACATTTAATGAACCAGTTCCAAACAGGAAGCGCTCCTGCCTCAGTGAGTATCGAAGCCTTGCTTTCTTGTCTTTCATTTGCTTCAAACACTTTACTAATTATACTCATATAATCTAGTTTATTTCTTATGATGAGTCGATCTCAGCCATGGTAACATTGGTATAAAGTATTGTGTGATTATACATAGTCAGTATAAATCTGATGAAGCCATGTTGATGTCTTTAGGTTAAGAAACCTAGTTAACCAGTAACTAGTAACCCAGTTAAGAACCTGCATAACAAACAGGATGTGTGAGGTTGTTGAAAAATGCCATTGGTTTGCATCCTTGGAGATGTAGGACACAGTGTGTTGGTGCTATTCTACGAAGGGCAAAACTTTGAACATCTTTGCTTTTGCTTTCTGAAATGTATGATATTTCTCTTTTTGAACATTCTGTTGTTGGTTTAATAAATGTATTTAGGGGTATAACTGAATCACTACAGTCATCCTTAAAAGTAATATTTGCAACTTTAAATGTGATAGTGATGCATTCAGACTTTTAAAGTGAATAAAAGGACTTGCAACCTAAGAAAATGGTAAATGGTAAATGGACTTGAGCTTCTATAGCACTTTTCTAGCCTTCTGACTACTCAAAGCGCTTTTATACCGCACGTCACACCCACCCATTCACACACTGATGTCAGAGGTTGCTATGTCGTTAAACCATCAGAGGTAATGAATCCCATTCATACGCCGCAGATGAAGTAGTGGGAGCAATTTGGGGTTAAGTGTCTTGCCCAAGGACACATCGGTTATGTTGCTGCAGGAGCTTGGGATCGAACCGTCGACCTTCCAGTTGAGACGACGAGTCTACCAACTGAGCCACAGTTGAAGCACTTTATCTAAGGCTAAGTTAAAAAAAAAAAAAAAATCACATGGCGAGTTTTAGGACAGGTTTGGGGTTTATGTTTACATCAGTTAAGTAAAATTACATATGAACATTTCAAAAACTTCATTTATGCAGCACTTGTTTTCATGCAAAGCTGCAGCCGGAAGTGCTCAACATAAACATTAAGATTAATGATTTATTTACTAAAGAGACAAGCCTTTTTTTGCAGAACACTCAGTAAAAGTGTCTTACCCTCTGTGTGCACTGCAGACACGTACGTCCAGTTGTATCGTTTGACGATGTCTATCAGCGCCCGCGCCTGCAGAGTGTCCGATGGCACCACCCGCAGGAAGTACTTGAACAATGTCTTGTCACTGAGGTCAATACTGGTGGCAGAGTAGGCGATCTGTGGGATGTTGAACAGCTGCAGAAGGTTCTGAACCTGGATTGCGACCGAGCTCGATCCAGGCCCGATGACCCCAGCGATGGGCTTCTTGGTGGGTGGCGGCTGACTGGAAGGGGCCCCCTCGATGCACCACTTGGCTCCATCCTTGTCATCCCGGATGGAGATGAGAGAGTCTCGAATGAACTCGATGCTCTGCTCAAGAGCCACAGACGAGTGCCAGCATGAGTCCCTGATCTCACAGCCCAGGGTGATGTTGGGTAACAGGTTGGGGTCCGAGTTAATCCTGTCCAAGGTGTGGAACATAGCCTCCACCCTCTGGATGCCATACTGCTCACGGACTTCTCCACATTTCCTCTCTGCCACCTTCTCAGCCGACGGTTGGTGGTGGACGGAGAAGAGAGCACCGATTATGATATCCCCGTCCATCCTGGCCACCAGACGAGAGGCAGAACTGGGCACCACTGACCTCTCATACTTGCCTTTGGACAACACAAACGCCTCAAACAGCAAAACAGGCAAGTACAAAATGCTGATGGCGGTCAGGGTGATCATATTCGACATTTTGCCACAGGTGCTGAATGTAGAATCATGTCCGTTTGGCCATAACGGAGGTCCATCAATCCACTTTAGGGTGAAAAGGAAGTTAACTGAGCTGCTGCTGCTTCAGTGTCAACGCCCTGAAAGTGAGACATTGAAGCATTAAACCCTGTTTTTCACAAACTAGAGCTGCTAGAGCTGCAGTCCATGGAATAAGAAGACATAAGAAGATTAACAGAAAAATAATCTCCAGTTATTTGGATGACTTATTAATCATTTGAGATGTTTTGAAGCACAAATACATTTAGAACAACCTCTGGCTTTGTAAACTTCATAAAGATGAAATGTGATGCACGTCTTTGTCTTCATAATAAAAAAAAAAAACAGTACATTTTGTGATGTAAATGGTTTGACAAAACAAAAAATTGCACAATGTTGCATTCAGTTCGGGGAATTTTTCATGGCCATTTACTTCCCACCCCTCTGACATTGACCTCCAACACTTTTAATAAAATCTAGAAAATAATCAGCACGTGGTTGATCATGTAAAAAATCAGTAACAGCTCTACATGTAAAACTCATTTGACTAATTTATCTGTTTTAAAATCACATCATAACTTGAACAGTGTGATAACACCTTAGATCTCCCTCATCTTTAATCTACAATCCTCCAAAGGAGTGTGGAAACAGACAGCAGAAACGTGTCAAATGCACAGCTTTTAGAGTCCTGTTGCATTAAAGCTACAGTGTGGAACCTTAAAAACTGATTTTGTATCTAAAATATTTGAGGTATTTTCTCTTAGCAGCAGAACCTTTGAGTTTCAGCACCATAGACAGCTACGTATGCTTTTAGTTGAAGGTCTCAGCTGATTTACTTCCCTCCAGCTGCTGATCTATGACAACCTGCGACTGTTTCTTCAACTTTTACCCCTGAAGGCATCACATAAACAGACTGGGACGTGCTCAATCTAAACCCTCATTTAACCCTCTGTCAGCTGTCTGTGTCTCTACAAGCGGCTGGTGTCATTTACAGGACAACATTCCGACATCGTCCCCCACATGCACATGCAGACCAATTAAAAGGGCGATGCTTAATTAACAGAGCAGACGAAATATTCCAGCATGTTAGAAAAACGATCCCCTGTTAACAAGAGAGTCCGTGTCTGCTCAGCAAGTGTCTCATTTTTGGTTTACCTACCTGCAGCAGGCAGTTCGGGACATGTCGAGTCTGCGTCTCTTCTGAAGCAACCAGGCTTGACTGTCTTCAGTCGAGACAACACTGTGGGACTGACTCTCTCTCTCTCTCTCTCTCTCTCTCTCTCTCTCTGTCTCTCTGCAATGATCATGAGGTGCCCCCTTCTTCTCCTCTTCCTCGCTGCATCCTAAAAGCGGGTCACAATCACTGCAGTGTCCCTGATTCAAAGACACAATTCCTGCACGTTAGAGCACGTTTCAGGCATAAAACTCCTATTGATGACATTTTTCTATGAGAATGTACAAGTGGACATGTGGGGATTGTTGGCATTTGGAGGACGGAGTGTAATTAAAAAAAAAAAAAAAGACTACATTACTTAAGCATATCTATGTCACGCTGAAGGTTTTTCAATCTCCTCGTTAAAACTATAGACGGACTGGTCAAACTTCACAGAAACAGTCCTGCTTCGTCGTGCTATAGTCAGTGACAGATGTGAGGCTCTTGCGTTTTCGTCGCTGCAGACCAAGGGAAGCTCGACCTCTGCTGCCATCTTGTGGCCATACCAGGTACTGCGCATGCGAAATACATTTTAAATAAAACTCTGTTACAAAATAACAAAAACACTGTTGTAAGTGAATTATTTAAAAATAATAATAATAATAATAATAATAAAGCGGCTAGACGAGAAAATAGCCCACATAAGCCTTGTTTACATTGCAATAAAATATTAATTTAATTAAACGTAAGTTAAGGTAAACACATTTTGCTCAGATAAAAAAAGCATTACAGATATATTTATTTATAATATTAATGTTGTGTATATATTATATATGTTGTTTTGTATTAAAAAAATAGTAATTGCAAATTATTCGAAGGAGTTGAAACGTCCCCCCCCACCCTCCTCCCTTTTACGTCACTTCCTGCATTTAAAAATGGCGAACAGCAACATTAGAGTCGGTAAATGAAGTGTGTTTTTGTGTGTTTTGATGCCTTTTCGGCCTCAAGTATCTGAGTCGACTCCTGATGCAGCGATAGAAACCAGACAGGTATGTGTTCACTGTGCTTGTTCTTCAACCCGTTTGTCATCAAGTGTGACGATACGACACGCAGCCGCACAGCCTGGAAGTGTTTTCATTGTGTAACAGTGTTCAGAGCTTTGCAGCCCTGCTTCCCTGTTTCCATCCACTTCAACTTGAATCGAGGGGAGGGAACTCGTTTAGTAACAGATGCATGCTGTCTTACATTCAACGTGCTACATGCTGCACTTATAATCCAGACTGTGATCAATTTAATTTGAACAATAGTAGCTCTGTTCAGGACAAAATACTCTTATTAGCCTGTTGGCTTCCAGAAGTTCTCTGCCATAGTGTGTGACAGGCTCTTAGTACACACAGGCAGCTCCTGTGGGTCATGTGCCATTCAAAATGACAACCTTAAGTTAGACATGTTGCAGCATAGAACAACAGACAACACTGACAAGTCTCTGTGGTCAACTTTATCTCTGATTGTTTTTGGAAAAATGTTGCAGGATTGATATGAACTGGTCACAAGAGTGCAAAGACTAAATATGTTGTGCATTTTCATTATCATACATATGAACTAAAATCCAACAATAAGGGGCGATCAACAACTTTACCTTTCTATTTATTTATTTATTTATTTATAAAGCGCTTTTAACCGACTTATTCTTCAACTCTGCTTTATTTTAATGAGGGTAGCCACATTAGAATAGATTCAAATACTTTATTGATCCCAAACTGGGAAATTGTGGCGTTACAGCAGCAGGTTATCCAACACACAATATGAGTAAAAAAAAAAAAAACACAGTGTTAGCAAATCTAAACATCATGTAATATTAAATACTAAGTAAGTACTAAAAAATATCAAAAAATAAGAATGTGAATATATACAACCAGGATTTAACTAAGCATTACTAGCATTACAGTCTGCCAGTCATGGCATTTTATGAACTTCCAGTTTTATTTTTGCTCATTCTCTTGTTGTTACACCCTCTCTGGTGAATTTATTTGTTTCCGCCTCTTCTCTGTTGTTGTCTGTACCTCGGCGACATTGCAAATGAGGGTTCTCTCTCGATTTTCCGAGGATTTAAATAAAATAAATGATGAAATAGAAATTCCATTTTAGACATAATTGTTCATAGTATACTATATATTTCCTGTGCGCAGTGACTGATGCATTCGGATCTAAATGAACATCTCTTTGCCTTCTGTGTAGAGTTGAACCATGAGTAGCCGCAGAAAGCGTGCCCCTCCCGTGAGGGTGGACGAGGAAGGCAAGAAAAGGTTGAACTGGAACATGCTGGACGACCGCAAGGCGAGGTGATCCAGGAAAATGGCGAGACACCAAGCTGCTCTGCTATTTCTGCTGAACCAACTCCAGGCAGCTCCTTTCTCTCGACTGCAGAGGACGTCCCAGAAGCTGCCTGCAGCAGCTCCGTCCAGCACACAGAGGAACTCCCCGCCACATCGTTAGACAGCACCTTCACCTCCACCTCCCTGTCTCTCGCGGTTGAGCCAGCTGTGAAGCTTGGTCACGTCTGGAAGGCGCTCATCGGGGAGTTCAGCATCTGCCCGGCTTGGATCCCGGCTGACTGTGAGGAGAGAGCGTTCGTCCTGCACAGGATGGGTGACCAGCTGTGCCTGAGTTACTGCAGTAGTGATGACAGCTCGGGACTGCAGTGGACACCTGACGAGGACACTTGCACGGCAGAGTGCGGCCTTAATGTGATCCCGCTGGAGGATCTGGACTGGATGCAGAAGAGGAGGGTGGTGCAGCTCTGTCATCAGGAGAAGGAGGACTCTGTCAAGGTATGAAGGTGGTGTACAAGATATTGTCATCATGCAGTGGTTATTACAATAAATTGACTGAACATCCCTCAATGCCTTCAGACCACCAAACATTACAACAAAGGTTATTTCACTGATTACTCTATCCTTTCTGATTTTGTCCCAAGCAGCGTAAATCACTGTCATAGTCCTGGGTTCATAATGTCACAGGGAAAATGCACTTCCTCCAACAACTGTTGTGTGTCTGCATGTTGCAGGTCGGGATTTACTTACTGGAGACCGGACTCGGGAAGCCAGAGTTCCTCAGCGAGGGAAATGCTCGGGTGAAGAAAGCGAACCAGCTTATGCAGAAGTTAATGGAGTATTTCTACGACTTCATCATTCCTGGTAAGTGTTTAGTCCTCATTTTCAATGTATTGTGTCATTCATGTTCTCAGATACCTTGGCCTACATAAAGTTTAAAATAAAATCCAGCTTATGATTCTAATAGTAATACACCACCATGGATTTCTCTGCTGTGTTTTCACACAGAAGTTGTAGAGAACAACGAGGAAGAATGTGACACCGACCTGGAGAGGCAAAATGTCGAGGAGCTCTACGATTACGTCAGGCATCTGCATCAGAGAGAGAGCCGGGAGGTGACCTACGACGTCCAGCACAAAGCTCTTATTCCTGTTCTCAGACGGTACCAGAGCCAGGCCGTCAACTGGATGCTGCGGAGAGAGAAATTCAGAAACTCTACACCTAAAGGTTTCAACTTCTTGTCTGATTATAAACTGTACGGTGCTCAACCAATTTGCTGCGGCACATTTGACTGAAGGGTATACACATGTGTCGAGATAGTCAACTACAAGTGATGCACATACAACAGAGCTGTGCTGATATTAAGGAACACAGTCTCAATGCCTGGGAGGAGAGGGGAAACAAAAGAATTGTGACTATAGCAACACTTAAATGTTTACCATTCCTTTTGCAGAACAAACGATGCATTTCCTCTGGAGGGAGTTGATCACTCTGTGTGGAAAGAAGTTATTCTACAACCCTTTTACTGGGGGTAAGGAAAACACATTTTCTGTATTAAAAGC